AGAGCTGAAATTTATTCTGATGGCAGCAGTCTCTCATACTGTCAGATGACTGAGCTGAGTTAAATATTTTAGTTTTTTCCATTTAAAAGTGATGTATCAATTTTTTTTCAAGCCTATGTAAGATTGTAGTATTATGAGCACATCTTTCTAATGCCTGTATGTAGAAACATTGCCCTTTGTTGACTTTCACAACCACACAGTATTTATAGCAACTAGTGGAAACCTTGCTGAGCTCAGTGGGGGCTTAACAGGTTTCAAAGGCTGCTTTCACGCAGCAATAGAAAACTGGTTAACCCCTCATTTGCACAGATTGCACAGTGTTTTGTTGTTGGATAAAACCTAGAAAAATAGGCGTACTAATCAACTACCAGAAAGGTCATAGGTCAAAACTGCAATGTGACAACACTCTCTAAGCATATAGTGCGTTAGGATATAGCCTTGTAAACTACATGTACAGCATAACTACTGTGAAGAGAGAAGTTAAACAAGTCACACAAAAGTAAGTTGGTCATAGACATTTATTAGTGTATAGCTAGAGATAGAGTATTCATGTAAACATGGCAACAAAAACTAAACTGCTAACTGCTGTGTTTCAAGAGCAGCCAGAGAACAGTAACTTTCTTCTTAGGGTGAGAGGGGATAATGGTTTATTATTGAAAAGTATGATCAGACAAAGCCATAAGACTGAAACACTCTATTCCTCATAATAAGAATGTGATTGTTTTATTTGATGCAAACGCTACCTGCTTCCCCTTCATCTGTGTTTCTGTTTGCTTTCCTCTGTCAACCCCTCTCTGTTGCTGGTCCATCCTTTTCCTCCAGGTTCTGGACAGTGAGCTCCCAGTGATGGAACCATACTTTGTCCAGAACCCAGACCTCTCTGACTCTGGTCCAGGTCTGAGAGTCACCTGGCTGGGTCACGCCACAGTTCTGGTTGAAATGGATGGACTGAATATTCTGACAGATCCAATCTTCAGCCAGAGGGCCTCACCTTTCCAGTTCATGGGGCCCAAAAGGTACCGAGGGCCTCCCTGCACCGTGGAACAGGTTCAGTACTTCCTGTTTTTAATTTTCCCTTATTTCAGCAATTCCCTTTAATTAAAACAGTAACAAAACAGAATTTGTTTGATTCTTTCATACCTGTGTTTTCTCTTGTCCTCTCCTGCCAACAGCTGCCAAGGATCGATGCTGTTGTCATCAGTCATTCTCATTTTGACCATCTGGATGCTGGATCTGTTGCCAGCCTTAATGCACGCTTCGGAGGGGAGCTACGCTGGTACGTGTGATGGGCAGTCATTGTTGTGATCAAGATCCACACTGTACTGTATTTATTGCCTGTTGAGTTGACATTCTGAACCACTGTCTTTTAGTGCACTTCTGCGTTTGGGGGAAAAAAAGTCAAATGTACCTTTTAAATAAGAGCAGTGTGTTTTGTAGGTTCGTGCCCCTTGGCTTGATGGACTGGTTGGTGAAAATGGGCTGTGAGAATGTGATGGAGTTGGACTGGTGGGAGGAGAACTGTGTCCCAGGTCATGATGAAGTGACATTTGTCTGTACACCATCTCAGCATTGGAGCAAACGCACAGCTCTGGATGACAACAAGGTAATTATTTTCTCTCTCTAATAAAATCATACACATAATTCTTTGGTCAATTTTAATCAAGTAGAAACTTTAAAGCAAATTCAGTACAATACAAATATGTTCATTTCCTGGTTGTCTCTTTCAGTCTTTATGGGGCAGCTGGTCTATTTTGGGTCCAGACCATCGATTCTTCTTTGCTGGTGATACTGGCTACTGCGCTTCCTTCCAGGAGATAGGAAGGCGCTTCGGACCATTTGACCTTGCAGCAATCCCCATCGGAGCGTATCTGCCCAGGTATAGATTCTGTCTCACTAACTTAGAGTAATAAAGAAAGAACCTAGTAGAAATAAGGTAAGACTGTAAACTCTTATTTCCTATATTCTTGATCCTTACTTACTTTTCTAGATTCTTAATATCTAATTAGATAGTAAGAAAAAGGATCTAGAAAGAATATAGGAAATAAGAGTCTAGATTCTTTTATAAAAGGACCACACACAGCCAGACCTGTAACATTGAAATATTCCTGGTGTTTAAGGGACGTTATGCAGGGGCAGCATGTGGATCCAGAGGAGGCTGTTCTAATTCACCAGGACCTTCAAGCCAAACAGTCTGTGGCCATTCACTGGGGGACCTTTGCTCTCGCCTATGAGGTAGGAATGCACAGAGATACAGTAAGTTCTTCATGTTTTGTCTCTAACAAAAAGGCAGTACAGTTCAGCTGCACCACAAACTACCTCCTCTAAAATGACTACAGTTGAATCAATACATCTCTAGAACAGTTTACAAAATTAGTTCAGTGGCCCAAAGAGCTGCCGTGTGTGTGACTGTTCTCACTGAGGAACTTTAGAATCAGAGAGGGGTTATAGAGGTAAAAACATGCCCAGACAGTATATTATGTTCTGGCAACACAACATAACAAAAGGTATCATTGTTTGTAAAGCTGAAAGACTTTTCCTGCAGTGGTTGTGGTTTATTGGCCTCTGGCTCACTGCTCTGCTTCAGTGTTAGAGACTAGCTAACAAAAGCACTGAGCTAAAAATTAACCTGTTTTTAGGTTCATATATGGCAATGTTCAATGATGGTCTTTAATACTCACTTTTTCCCTGGTCCCCCCCCCTTCGTCTAGTACTATATGGAGCCGCCGGTTCGTCTTAGAGAGGCCCTGGAGCAGAAAGGACTGAAACCAGACTCCTTCTTCACTTTGCATCATGGGGAGTCTCGCCTTATAGCTTCACGGGAAGGAGATGTCTTTGAATGATCCTCCACTCTGCAGTGTGCTGTGGGCTGAACTTACTGTAGATTTGTGTCTGTAACAAAGTGAACATTTTATCATATATAGATGGACTCCAGTGATTAAAGTATGAAGTGCATTTGTATGCAGCTTATTCCAACTTAAAATTAAAATGTTTGATACTGTTTACATACTGAATGTTTGCCCTGCCATCACATGGTCATTGGTGAACAGTACTACCTGGAGGAGCTGTGACTCTACTATAAAAAAATGGGTTTGTTAGGTTTACACAATAAAAAAAAGTTTTTAATTCTTAGCTCAGTCAGTGTGGTATGTACAGTTGAAAGGTTATTGTATTAGTGTGAGAAAAAAACTTTTTTGTAATTTCAAACTGTTATAAATAATCATATTTAGAACATGGTCTGCACACTGGCTGGAGAAACTTTTCAGCCCTGAAGAGAAAATTATTCACAAACAAGTTAAAAACAACCACTGAAAAGAAATCTGTGTGCTTATTATCACTGGTTTGTGTAAGCTTGCTCATCAGTTGACCAGGATTGTTTTTCTGATTTTATTCACATCAGAAAGTCAAATCAGAATTAAAAAAAAGAGATGCAATGAGAATTAAACTCAGATGGAGTGAATGGTGCTGGTACCAAGTTACTATAAATGGCTTGAACTTTTAAAATGGAGATAGTCATGCAGGTGAAGTTTGTGAATAGGGAACAATGACAAACCTTCACGATGAAGCTGGGCAGGAGACTGCAGGCACTGTGATGCATCTTCATGTTCACACAGCTGGACATAACTTCTTGTGGTCTGAAATATCAAAGAGAAAAACTGTTAGAAAGTTATTTAGCCCTGTTATTTTCCAAGAGTGGTGATGGCTAATGCCAAATTGCAGTGCTATATTTTTGTTTGTTTCAGAATGTATCTTGGCTAATCCAAAACTACACAAGACAAAGTGTTAGAATAAATCTGTTTTTGTTGTCTGTGATCTAAACTCCCATCACCTGTATGCTTCTAGAAAATGCAGCTGAAGTGTCAGGTTAACAAGTTGAGCTGGGTTCAACTTTGTGCACTGCAGATGTTGTGCACTGTTCCTGTGTCAGACATTTGCTTTTGATGCTCTGAAAACCACAGCACAAAGACCTTTTTTTCCCTTTCTTTTAGTTAACAGGTATGTTTGCTTCAGAGAGCAACAGCAGAATCATTTTAGTGCTTAAGGGATTTTATTATAATTATTTTTTATGTTATATTTTTTAATGCCACAACTTTTTTTTTTTTTAAAGCTAGAATGTAAGAACTGTGCAATGTTGAGTTAATTTAATAGCCTGGTTATAACTACATGGTCAAACAGGGCTAACTGTGGTTTACATTGGATCCAAGTCACTGAATTTCCCATTAAAGACACCATACGTTTAAAATGTTTGTCTTTTGTTCTTGTTAACAGCAATATAGCGCAGGACTAACCAAACAGTAAAATACAGAATTATTATTAGAAAATATAGTTATGTCTGATGGAAAGAGATTTAGGATATCATAGAAAGTTATTTAAAAATCCCTTTAAAGTATACTTTAGTTGTCTATTTCCATGAGTGCACTATTCTGAGTAACAAAACTATTTAGCAGCAAATCTTCAGCCACTGTGATGAACATCAATGCCATGATGTAAAATTTAAAGTGCTACAATCAAAAAAGAAAAATAAGATCAGACAGCATTTTGAGTCAATCAGCAACAATTAAGTTAATTTTATATTTAACAACAAACTTGAGGTATAAAAAGATTCTACTCTTTCGATTTCTCTTTGTCTCAGTATTTAAACTGTAGGGCCTGTAAGCTGCCAGAGTAACTGCTCCGTGTACTCATTGGGCTGATGTGTTGTATTAACACTGTTGGGGCCAAACACTCTTAATGAAAGCACTTCTGATTAAAGGATCTGTTCCTACATTGAGGAAATAATGTCAAAGAGGTTAAATCTACTTTAACAGAACAAATAACTGCAAAAAATGAAAGCAACTTAAGGAGATAAAATAATTTAACTCCTTATTTTAAGTAGATGTAAGCTACATTGTAAAGTGTTGAACCTACAATGTGTGATTTTTGTCCATCAATACATCTGAAGTCCACATGTGTAGATATTAAATGTGTCACTGTTGACATAGATATGAGGTATTTATCGGGTACAGATTATAGTTTTTCTCAATCGCTTTGATGCAATTCACTCATCAGAAACATCATTCACATTGTCACTGATAAACTAAACCTAACCACCAGTGCCTCAAGAATTGGAATGTTTCGATGTTTTGATAAAAACATGACCAACTTTAGAAAAAGAGAATTGCAGAAAATATATAGTAAAAAATATTCAGACACAACACTGTACTAGAGTTACAACAGTAACATTTTGGAAAAAAAACTATATTCTGTTTCAACGTTGCATTAGTGTTTACTGTGCTGTGTACATTCCAAACCCTCAACAGATCACTGTGCTGTCACTTTAGAACACAAATGTAAATACAAGCCTATACATTTAGAACAAGATCTATCCAAAAAAGTGTTTGGCATTTGATGCAAATACTTGATTTTTTAGATATTTTTTTCAATGCAGTGTTTCATTTTGCAGCAGATTTGTGGCACTTTGCATTTTGTGTGTGCAATTTTTGGATTTGTGTGTAGGGTTTTGAAAAAATGAGACCTAGTTTAGAAAATGTGTGAAAGCAGCTGAAAAAAATTGTATCTGTAAATTCACAATGTAACTGCTGTAACTGAGGAAAGCTAAATAATAAACGTGGAACTATGCATCGGAAAATAGACAAATAGAAATATGCAATCAAACATAACGAACACAGCATCAATTGTATGTCCAATAATTTCACAAATTCACACCACATACAATATGTGTGTGTGTGTGTATATATATATATATATATATATATATATATATATATATATATATATATATATATATATATATATATATATATATATATATATATATATATATATATATATATATATATATATATACACACACATACATACATATACACATACATACATACATACATATGTGCATGTGACTGGCCTTGCTCTTACATATTTGAAGAAAGTTTAAAGAGATTTGAATTAATACACTAATGCAATGCAGGACAATATCAAAGTGAGTGAGAGGTCTGTCATTCTATCTGACGAAGGAACAAACTGTTTTCAGTTGTCAATGTCAGATGAGAAATGCATCAACACAATGAGAAAACGTATTTAGTAGTGAACTATGTGTGGATAAAAAGGAAGTTTGTACAAATACAATGAGAATTGCTTATTTGTGTGGGGAAATGAACTGTTTTGAGAACTGCTTTAAGAATTATGAGAATGATGTTTCTGATGTGAGAATTGCATCAAAGCAATTGAGAAAAACTGTTATACAGATGCATTTAGTAAGAGTGAGGTGATTATCATCACATACAGGTAGACAATTAAATGTTTAAAACTAGAAATTGATCAGTGTTCTCCAGTGTCACTTACATTGACTTCTCAGTTTGGTGTTGAAGATCAGTTGTTATTTCGCTGCCTCACAACTTTTTCTATGAACTTTCCTCCTGCACTTGTCTTTTAGCAAAGAAACTGTATAAACTCATATATCTTAAACATCTCCACAGTGCTCCCACTTCTCTTTGTACTGCATTTGTTTGTTTCCCCTTCCCCCGTGTCACAGGTGTATCTCATTAATTACTCACCTTCCTCTCCTGCCAAGGTTTTAAAGGGCCATGCCACCTTCTCCTCATTTCTGCCACTCACAGCACCTGCTTGAAAGTAAAGAAAATACCACATACACTGTGCAGTGTTAATAATGACACAAGGTGGCAGTGTCTGCAAAGTTTCCTCAACTTGAATTTAAAACTATGGACCTGAACAGAACTATTGCCTAACATTATTGGTTTAAATCAAGGTACTTATTTTATTACAAAGCTGATTATGAGGAGTGAACCATATGCCTAATATCTGTATGAATTTAAACAATGTATAAATTTTACTGTTTACTGTTTACTAATAATATATGGGTAATATAAGGATATTTTTCAAAAAGTCTATTCTTAAATTGAAAAGCCAGATTTGATTATTTGGTAAACCACATTGATCTCATTGTTTAGAAGTATTAAATTGGGTCCATCATTTGTAGCACAGCACACATCACATCTCATTAATTGTTACATTCATGCAGAAAAAGGAAATGTATGTGGTCTGGATGCGATTTCTGTTTCCCCAAGAAAAACGGTTGGTTGTCCCTGTTTGGACAGACTTGAGAAGAACACACTGTAGTTGTATGAGAGACATACATACATACATACATACATACATACGTCTGTCTGCTATTTTAAGTGTGTACCAATATAATGTGAGAAGAGCTGAGATAAGCCCAAGGTTCATTTTAGTCTCTGGCAACATACCTTTAGTCTGAGAGTCAGGAGTGGATCCTGCATGTTCCTGTGAAAATATCATCTTTCAGTAACTTTTTTTTTTTTTTTATATATATATAAACACAAATAATTATCATTAAAATAAACAATAAAACACACACTGTCCTCTGGGGATAACTTTGTCAATACAACAAGTTCTAATGGATTTTTACAAAAAAAAAAAAAAACAACTTTCTTACAACTAAAAAAGTCACCAATATCTACTTGATTGAAGAGACACTGACTGACTTAACCACCCACTCACACATCCTCCATGCGCTGACGCAGAGGCAGGTTTCAGTGATGATTTGATTTGACAGGAAGCGGAAGTCCAAAGTCTCAAAACAGTAGAATTACACCAAAACTGATTGGATGAAGGGTGGCTGTTGTCTTCTTGGCAAGCTGCAAAGACTGAATTCAGCCTCATTTAATAACCTTAACTACCTTTAAGAAAATATCTTGCCCAAATCTTTATTCAAATGAAAGAATCCTAAAAAGTAAAAATAATCTTTGTTCACAGTGCTTACAGCTCAGGTCATAAGTTGTGATGAGGGCTAAGAAATCAAAAAGGTTGGGAACCAGGGAGTAGTTACTGTGACACGAACGTAAGATGTGATTTTGATAGCCCTGTGTGATAAAAAAATAAAGTCCTGTCTCTTAAAATTCGGTTGATTAATTGGTCCGTACTAATTGAAATATAATTGGACCAAAGGAATTTTTATGTCTTCTTATAAACTAATATTTATCTGAACTTATTTCCAGAAACCGTAAAGACTCTTTAAAAGCTCATTTTAACTTAAACCTACAGTGACTTCAGCTTCACTGAGGGCCAGCTTTTTTTTTGACGGTACCAGGCAAAATGTATTTGCTCCGACATCAAAGCAGCAGTAAAACGATTGGACGTGGAATTACTCATTCATCTTATGTAGAGGAGGTTTAAAAGCAAAGCAATTGAGATACAGTGGAACCATTTCCAGTCCCTTCTTCCCTTGAGATGCTAATTACACCATGAAGCACTCTCTCCTGACACGTGTACAAGCCTCTCTATAAATACTACATACTGTATATTAAATACTATTATCTTTATCATGTGTAACTACTAAATAGGGGGTTTTGATTAAAAGTAGAAATGCAGAAACTATCAGGTTTAGACTAAAAGTAAAAAGTGCAAAATACATATTTAATACAATATCTTAAAAATCAAGTAATAAAAGGTTCAACCAACAATATAGATATGTCAAGTTATTGGAAAGTTTGTTTTGTAATTGAAATGTTAAATGCTTGAATTTGATAGCCCAAGGTATTCAATAGCCATAGCAAAGGGGAAAATCACCTATGAAACAACCACTGTTGTCTACATTACAATAGTTTGAGTTATAGTTTAGTTTGAAAGTCAAGTGATCGGTGTGATTGTAGCTTCCCAGAGAGGCCGGTGCTGATGTTTCCAGGTGTGGGCAAACACCTCAAAAAGTGCCAAATTGAAATATTTACTGGTCATCATGAGTATGGCCTTGTTTTTAGAAATAGAAAGCATTACAAAATAATGAAAAATAATTCAGTTTGACAGAATCCCTGATGAAATGTCAGAAAACAGCAGGGGGCATCACAGGGTGTAAGGAATGTCAGTAATGGCTCAGCATTGTTTGCACATGCGTGTCTCCTTAGATAAATGTTTGTGTGTGTCTGTGTGTGTCACGCCACACTCTGCCTGCTGCTGTCTCTGCTGTGTGTTGACCCTCCAGAACAACTTCGTGAGAAGTCCACAAAGATGCCATCTTGCTCTGGCTCTGAGTCCAAAGACTCCAGGACGTGATCCATCATGATCTCCAGACTGGATGACGGACTGGGACCCGAGCTCGTGTCCTGAGCCAGCACTCCGGAAGACGTGGGGGAGTCCCACACCAGCAATCCTCTGCCGTGTGTGTCCTCACCTGGGGAAGGTTCAGGGAGGATGCCTGGGGAGTGATGGTGTGGCTGGAGAGGGTGGGAGCCCGCGGGACTGTCAGCAACTCTGGGCTGGGGTTCCTGGCTGGAGGTCACAGTGTCTGAACCAAAGACAGTAAAAGTTTTACAGTTAACTTAAAGATTAATATGTTAAACATGATAAGAAGTCTTTGGGGCCTTTGTTGATCAGCTTCCTGTTTATTCTTTCCTGTGGAGAATACAGTGGCATTATTAACTTACTAAATTCATAAATTTTTTCAAACGTTTAAAGATAAAAAAAAAAAAAGTTTGCATGAAGCTAAGTCAGATGGAAACAGTTTTTCTTGGACGTTCTCAAACGAAAGTTTGATTTTAAGATCAGAAATTCAACATATCGCCAAAAAGGTCATCTGAAAAATCTCTTCCTCCAGAAAGAGTTAACTATCTAATCTTGAAAGTTGCAGATGATTTGTTATACTTTCTACCTGAAAGTGCAGCAGATTCTGTGGAAGCTGGGGAGTGGTTGGCGAGGATGGATGTGCTGGTGGTACCGGTTGCGTTGGTGGTGGATTCGACCACAGAGCTGCTCTCCTCCACACAGGAAGTCATCTCACAGACGGAGTGTCGTCTGATACCTGTGCCACCTCCTATGGAGGAGTCCATGTCATATTCCACCACAGGGGTCAACATAGGGACATTGTAGCTTTTCGACCGTACCACTGGATTTTTGGCAATGGGGGAGTTGCCTGGTTTGGAGGGCCAGGAGCGCTGCAAACGCTTTTCTAAAGAGAGTGAGAGAAAAAAAAACAAGAAAAAAACGTTTTAATCCTGATTACTTTATACTTGAATACATACCACAAAACACCACAGAAAACCTCAAGTACAAGAGAACACATAAACACAGAAATGTGGATCTTTTAACATTTAGAAGCACACACACACACACACACACACACACACACACACACACACACACACACACACACACACACACACACACACACACACACACACCTACCTAATAGGCAGGAGGAGCAGTGCAGATTGGAGGATCCATCTCTGGAATATAAGCCATGAGTCCCGAGGTAGGGAGAGACCACCTTCTGGATGAGAGACTCCAGACGCAGGTAGTCGTCTGTTGCACCTTTAGATTCGTGGACACCCTGCATCAAACAAACACAAGGTTTTGTTAGCCAGTAATTGCTACTTGTTGGGCAGTGGTAATGGAAACTTTAAAAGCCATGGAAACATTTGTGGGAAAAAAAGAAAAAGAAACTTGGCTTTCTGTGATTTTATCAAACATTCGGTTTCAAATGGTCTCCATCAAAGGTCTTGGATAAGTTTGATGAATGTTAATATTGTTTCAAACATAATGGGGTGACGGCTGCCAATAGAAGACACTATGCTTTCATAAACCCAGCCAGAACACAACATGAGTAAAACAGCAGAGAGTGTTGAGTCAATTTCGTCCCAGTCTCAGACTTGTATAAACATGCTCGGATAAGAAAAACTTCAACAGCAGTGTTCAATTTAAATAAAGAGAGACAGACAAAACAAACCGATGTCACTGGTTCAATATTGACAGATTTTCTGTCTGAAAAACATCACAAAGAATGTAAACTTTGTACTGCCATTATCTTTGTCATTATTGGATTAAACTTTACAAAGCACTTCACTGCAAAAAGAATGATGTGTCCACAACATCAGAGCAGCGCGTGTAACTGAAAATGATGAACATCCTTAGACTAAAGAACTTAGTTTCCTGTGTGGTAATAGTGTGAAAAGTGTAAGAGTACAGAGAGCTAAATGACCCTCAGAGAAAGTAGAGTTCTACCAACTCAAACCTAACAGGTCCCCTCTTTGGGTGTGGCTCAGTTTCAGGTTTGAAATTTTCAAATGTCTGTCTGTCTATGTGTTTCAGGTGTTACAAGTAGATGTGCAAGAAGGGAAAGACACAAAGTGTATTAGTCAGGCAAGCAACACTGACGTGTGATCACCACATAAAGCTGAAATCTTGATCATGTAAGCTAAAAGTCCCAGAAACATTACCATTATTTTGTTTTTCTACTACATGATGATGAATGTAAGTTATAATATATATATGTAATATTTACTTTCCTTTTAGCCCTGGTTCGGTCTCCATTAACGCTAAATATCTGGCTCTGTCTGGCTTTCGCTGCAAAATGCCCTGCTATGTTCACGAGCTCATCGCTAACTGTTTGTCTGTTGTTTGGTGCTGGGTATTTAGAGTACAGTGAATTTTTTTTTTTTTTTTTTTTTTTTTTTTTTAGAACTTTTTGTTTGAAAAAAGCTGCTTCTACTGGAAACAACACTGATGAGAGAGGTAAGATTGAACAAAAATAAAAAAAAGTCGTCGGCTGTAAAAACCAAAAAACAATGAGCTTACATTCATTAAGTTTTGTACCGCTGAGGGGAACTGCAGAGTCAAGCTTCAATTCTCTATAGATTCATTATTATGAGTGACACCTTTTACATTACACATAGTCATTTGATCCATTGTTAATATCAAAACATTGATTAGAGTAGCTGAGGTGTAAGTTTTAGAACCATGAAAAACACTACTACAAGCTAAGAAGATGAATAAGAAAAGCTTGGGACATATCTGCATCTGCTAGCACACCACAATCACAATCAATTTCCTTAATGGAATAAAGGAGGCCTTTCTTCCACTGGAGGGAAGCCTGTACCTTTAGGATGCATCCAGCTTCACCGTACATCCACTCTGCATATATGGCATCCTTGTTGCCCTGTTTATTGATGGTTCTTTTTGTTTCATGGGACCGAAATAATTGTTTTCACAGTCACCAGGAAACACAGGCATTACATTTACTTTCATCTCGACAGCAAAGCTCAAACCCACTGTGCATTTGATGTTAGTGTGTTTTCAAGTAGATCACTTGCAAATAAATTACCCTCATAATCAAGATGCTGCTGTTTTATGAACTCAGAGCAGTCATGAATAACAAACAAGAACTTTGCAGTTTGAAAGGTTCAGGCTCTTTGTTTCTGTCTAGTTAAAGCCACCCGCTCCTGATGCTGTATTTCCTATTTAGGCGACCTCATAAAAACACTTTTAGAAGTTGAATTTAAACAAATTTTCACATTGGAGGGGTGTAATATGTCTCTGGATAACAAAGCAGAGATCAATCAAATTTCAACGTTCTGAATCACTGAGCCCATGCATCAAAACCACAGTGCAGAAACAAACCACATAAATAGAACAGACTTCAGTGTATTGGCGTCACAGCATCTTAACAGAATGAAAGGGAAATTACTAACAGATGAAACAAGAAGTAGCAAACAGCCAACATCCACTGCTGAATTTAATCTCTCTCAGACTTTTTTCTTAGCTGCCCTGCTTTCCTGTCTGCTTTCATATCCTAGACTCTACCTGTTTTTCTCTTCCTCTTTCTCTCCTTTCTGTTGATTTTATGTTCATCATGGACAAACAAAAAACAGATCAATTAAAATTACTCTGCAGTACACATCTGTGCACAGTGCATTAAAGAAGAAAATAAATATATCCTGTTTTATATTTGTGTCTTGTCTGTTTTTTTAGTCTGTTTGAGTCTGGGAGCTGCAGATTTGGGTCAATGAGTCACTACAATGATGTCCAAGCTAACCCAAACACACACACAGAAACAGACACACTATCGCAGACTCACAGTTCACACACACACACACACACACACACACACACACACACACACACACACACACACACACACACACACACACTTGAGAGCACATTTAATCCACTTAATTCACTCCCTGACCCACATCTTGCCTCTGACCAATACATTTCTAACTTTAAAGCATTATACTGAGTTTTTGGAAGATTACATATTACATACAGGATCAATTTTAGCTGTTAACACCAAAATCATCCACTGAACTTTGGATCTGGTTAGTCCACTGCTCAATAAACTATAGAGACTGCCTCTTAACCTTTAGTCTTTCAGAAGCTTAAATCCTACACAGAAAAACACCCATTCATGAATGTGCTTTTAGAGTGACTCTTAAAAAAGTTTCTACATAGCCTGATTCCCTCTCAGATTACTGAGTAGGTATTTCAAGATAATTTGAAACCCTTTCTTCTTCTTAATCATGCAGATGATTGTGGTGCTGTTAAAACATCAAAGGTTCACTGAAAAGCCATTTTATCAGCCGAGGTCTGTAGAGGAAGCCAGAGTTTGTATGCTTGGTTTCAAACTATAAGAAAGAGCTAAGGTTAGGGCTTGTGTTAATTCTACAAATAAAATCGTTCATTCTTTTCTTTCAATGCCTTAAATAAGATATTTAGGAAAATATTCAGAAATGACCTAAATGGGCATTCTTATTTTATTTATTTTTTTTTTTACGTTATCTTGTTTTATATGTTCCAAGAAACGTGGTGAAATTCAGAGTGAGTACCTCACCTCTAAGCTTTCTTTCCACCTGAAAATTTGCACTTCATCTTGATCTTGAGCAATTCAAACTAAGGATGCTGTGGTTATTTGGTGTTCACATGCTCTGTTTTTCATGTACTTTTTCTTCTGTACTCAGAAACAAGACTTTCCGTCATCTTCTGAGAACTGGAGCACTGACTATTGTGATGCAGTAGTTACAAACCTTTAATTTTAACTTTTGAAACTAGTTGTATGTCTGTATGTTGTGAGCAGTTCACTCAAATATGTGATTTTCTCTTTTTGAATTATTTTACAGGCTGGTAAAACTGCATAGTTTTAACCTGTACAGTTGAAAAGAATCATGAATGTATCCTTCAACAGTGAAATACGGATTTGATCAACAAGGAGTGAAAATCCAGGTATGGAAAGTGTGCACAGTAGTGTGCACAAAGAGTAGAAAAACACCATAGTTAAATGACAAGTAAACAACTCTTTCTGTTCCCATAGGAAATTAAGGTAATGGACAATTTACTGTGTGCAGCTGTGCATCACTACACAGTGGATGAGTAACTAAACCAAATAAAACTAGTTCAGTTATATACAGTATATATATATATATATATATATATATATATATAAAATTATGTGAAAATATCCACAGGGGACATATGAATGTCTGTGCTCCCATTACTTAAACAAGAACAAGGCTCTTTGTTTCAACATGAATCTACATATAAAAATGAACTTTTGGCTAATGAGGTCTGATAAGCTCTACTCATAAATGACTTGCATCAAACACAAACTCTCCCTCAGACAAACAGACATGGTGCAGAGGGTACTGCGTGGTCATGGGAAGACTGTGCTCTATGTTCACACTGAGATTACTTCCTGTGAGATCCCTTTGCAGAAAAAAAACCTCAACCCCTTTCCCCATCTGTTGTCATTTATCCTCTTCCCTCACCCCACATCAGTCATGGATGTGTGTTTGACTGTGTGTGGATGACAGTGAGAGAGGGTGGGGGGATGGGGTGGGGGGGCGATAGAAAAGAGGGCTTGTGTGTGTGTGTGTGTGCGTGTGTGTGTGTGTGTGTACCTGTAGTATTAGCAGCATCTGTATGATAGAAGGAGGAACTCTGGCTCGGGGTCGAGAGAGAGCCTCATCCAGTTTCAGGTTTAGGGTAATGATGTTCCTGAAGTGGAGCAGAGCCAGCTGACGCACTGATGGCTCCTTTCCCTGAACACACATACGTGTCAACATAACAGAGACAGAGTGGTGTGAGGAGAACATTAATGTCTGAGTGTGTCCATGGGTATCTGTACCTGTACAGGATAGAAGATGGCCTGCAGCATGGACAGAACATCACAGAAGAAGAAATCCCATGTGTCAGCCAGAGAGTCCAACAGCTTCTGACCTATTTGGCACAATTAGCAGAAAATAACAAAGTACAGTAACAAGACTTTCTGGTGTATGCACTGTCACAAGAAGATATTTAAGTCTACTTGTGGATTAATTGTGTGGTTGTCTGTCCCACACAGATACATACATGTGATGTCGAACATGACAGAGGCTGTAATTTGTTTAGTAAAAATTCACAACATGTGTAAACTGGCCTGTATTCCTTGATTTTTCTGTGCGTTTCTCTGCAGCAGAAAACTGTAAGAGACTTAAGAAGCATGCATCAGCATGGTGACTCCATTCAAAGCTTTATCGTCACTTGTCACTCCTTGAGATAATCAAAGATAATAAAATGGGTGTATAAGCATTTGGTAGGGAACATTTTACTGTGTAAAAGGCTCAAAATGAACTTCTTGAAGGTATTACTCACTTATCTTCTGTGGTATTTCAATCATCTCTGGCAATGAGCTGCGTGATTCAGTCATTATTACAGAAACACAGAAATGGGGGATAAATTCCTAAATGACATAAGGTCCACAAGACACTCTAGTCCTGAGAATGGCCAGATATTCCTGAAGTTTATTTTGCAGTGCAGGTAAATTTATTCCACATAAACTAAAATTGATTGAGCCAGAACAAAGGGTCTGTGAGACACTGTGGTTTCTCTTAAGTTTCATACTGACTGAATGATGTGTAATTGACGTAAAGCATCACTTCCTGTGACGATATCGTCAGTGTGTGCATGTGTGTTTTACAATTTTACAGGTGCTTCAAATGAAGGTCATACATTTACCACAACAGACAGAACAAAAAAAATTTCTTGTCAGTTGTTCTCATCTATTCAGGCTTTCTCTTTCACTCTGACTGTGTGTGTGTGTGTGTGTGTGTGTGTGTGTGTGTGTGTGTGTGTGTGTGTGTGTGTGTGTGTGTGTGTGTGTGTGTATACACAGGTGTGTACTGCAAAAACGTCCTTCACTAGGAGTGATGGTGGAGAGATAAAGCCCTGTCTGTTCTCACAGTTCAATCTAATAGTTAAATGGTTAACTCTGAATCTGGAATTTTAGTCAATTATTTTTCCCTGCTAGACGTGTGTCACATTGAGATAAAATCTCTGAACATTCATGTCTGAAGTTACCAGAAATGAATCACTGGCACCGGGAATGCTCTTTAAAGCCGGAAACTGGGTTAGTTCAGAAAAATCTAAAATGCAGGACCCTTTTCACCCCTTTTAGTCATCAAAATTTTGCTTCCTTGGAAATCTGTGAGTAACCGTCCTTTCAGATATATTTAACAACCGACAGACTCTTCGTTCCAATGAAAATGCATTTATATATCATTCTTTACAAAACAGCAACAGATATAGCTTTAATATTCAGATGTTTATATAACTACAGGCTTGTATGTACGTCTAATGTCTGTAAATTTGGCCCAGTGTCTCAGAGCTGAAGTTCAGCAATTAAGAGATGTCAATGAGGTTATTAATCTGTTTTTGTTCTTGTTCCTTTCTTTCTCTCAGTTATAAGAATAAGACATTTTTGTACGTTATATTTGTACATAATCGTCTTTGAACATAAATATATTACCTGCATATATATATACACCCTATTCAATGGATGTGAGTGGATGTGATTTTTATTTTACGTGTGTTAATGCATACCTTCATAGAAGCGGATCTTGTCTCTCAGTATGACCATGCCTTTAGTGAGCAGCTGGTTCTGAAGGTATTCAGTGAAGAAGGAGCCCAGCTCCGTCTTCAGCAGCTGCCTGCAAAAAAGTGCATATGAGTGTACACATATGAAGAGAATGGCAAATCCCCACATACACACACAAGCCATCACTGATGCATCCAAAGGCTGAACATGAACCAGAAGTAATGAGATCGTGTACGCAAGCTGCCGTGTTTAAACAGCAGCAGACTCAGGAAATGAGAAAAGATGTTCATGCTGAAAATAAAGGTTACACAAACATCTGAACCCTTCAACAGGATTTTACACTGATAACCATTTAACACACAGACACACAGAGTACAGATTAGTACGATGGCTCAGTTGCTGTTATAGGAGAGGAAAAGTTGTTTGTCTCTTATCAAATACAGAACACAACATGATTACTGCTGTGTGAAGATTAATTTATTAATTGCACCGAGTATTGTGCGTGCATGTGCATACTTTATATCATGTATTATATTTACTCTACATGACTGGAGCCAGCTTTGACAGTCCTGTGTCAACTGCCCTCAGCTACACTGTATTTAAACACCAAACACAGCAGTGACCCCTCTGTAACCTCAACCTGTCATTTCCCTCTCACACAGTTTCAGGTGTTTCTGATTCAGTGGACAGTACATAGTCAAAAACAGCAGGAAGAAAAAAAAACAAAAAAAACATATTACACATGGTGCAGCTGAGAATGATGCCACAATAATAACTGTTACTGGGTATGTGTTAATGTTTCGGTGACGGCTAAATTTAGCATGCTGAAGCTGTCATTGTGTGTAAATGGGAGAAAGAGTATTTGTGCCTGCAGGAAATCTGCAGCTACAGTGAAGGAAGATGAGAAATTACAGAACAAAACATTATAATTTAGTCAAACATCCTAAAATACAAACCAGCTCAAGCTAAAAATTAAGCACACTTGTGAAAGTTGTGTAAGAAAAACGGACAAATAAAAAACAGATGGAGGAAGAGACGAGGAGCTAACCTGACACCTTCATTCAGAGTGTAGAGTTCATTTTCTCCCAGATCCTTCCTCTGGAAAACAGAGATCACTGCATTGTGGATGCTGCAAATTAACACACAGGAAAGTATTAAGTATACACTTATTTACAAAGACTAATGAATAATGTGTAGACCATTCAGTTAATCAACAATATGCTGCTTCATGAGGCAAAATTAAAAAAAATAATAATAAAGCTTTAGAATCAAAAATAATTTTACATATGTGAGTGCAAATACCATATAGATGAAACACCTCAGGGAGTCTACTACTACACCAAATACAGAAGAAAGGAAAGTAAACCATGTAAATTTAATTCTGCACAAGTGCAGAGCATTGAGCATGAAGTAAACAAAATCTTAAGTATAAACAAAGTAAAAAAAAAAAAAAAAAAACAGCAGAAAACTACATTCCTAACCAGGAATGTAGAAAATAAGAGGTCAGAGAGGGCATGAACTTGTCCCACTGTAGGATTCAGTCCAGCTCTTGTGGTTCATGCAGCTTTCCAACCACCCAGCAAACTGAGAGCTCTTGCTCTCTACTCAGTGCTGTCTATTTTCAAATAAAGCTGAAAAACCATAAAAATAACCAGAGAAAAGAGAGAGAAGAGCCAGGAAGAAAAGAATCTACGAGGCAGAATAAGATAAAAAGAGGAGTGAGAGATGGATGGAGGTAAAGAGTGACGGTGATGGACCCTGAGGGGAGCGAGACAGAAAGAGTTGATGCTTATGTGCATGCATGTGTGTTTGTGTGTGCGTTAAAAAAAAAAAAAGGTTCCTATTCATAGCATGAATAATGGCAGCAAGACAGCTTTCTTCTGGTGATGTTTATTCCAACATGACATCGCCAGTGAAAAAGGCATACACACACAAAAACACATGTGTGTGTAAAAATAAGCATGGGAGCTTGAATAGGGACACATGGAGGACCAAAAAAAACCAACATATTTTCACATTCAAGCAAAACAACATGGCTCACACTTCAGACATTGTGCGAATACACACGTCAATCTCTCTCTTACACCGACCTGTTCCAGGTGGCGTTGGCCCCAGCCCTCCTCTGCTGGGTCCCTTTGTCCTTGCTGCACTCCTCTGCTAGCCCCCCAGCTGTTCCCCCCTTCTCCCCACCTCCCCCTGCTGGGATTTTTGCCTGCGAGAGGTCAGTCAGACTGGAGGACGAGCTGCTGCCCAACCTCAGTTTGCTGTGGAGACTCCTCGAAATCCAAAAGGAAGAAAGAGAGAAACAATAATAACCAAATGCATTCAGGGTTGGGATTGGACAACACCAATGTGGAAAGTGGAGCTGGTTTCATTCATCAATCCAAGTTAAACACAATAGTAGCTGTATGTTTTTAAAAGCTTCGGGTGAAAACAGATGTTCTGTTTTAAAATAATGTTTCATAATGTAATTTTTCCAGATTTTAATAGCCGACAACATAAGCATTTATTGAGGAGTGATTAGTTTTTATTAGCCATCTGTTAATGTTTACACAAGCTGATGTTCTACACCGCTCTGGAGACATATAGTGAAAGAGCAGGTACAGGGAGCAAATCCCCAGAATTGTAAAGTAAGTCAACCTGAAGGAGGATAGACAGAGATGAAGTTCAAGTAGAGAGCAAGAGAGAGACAGGATGATGTAAAAGGGTGGGATGAAGGGAGGTGCGAAAAAAAAAAAAAAAGAGCAGGGTGAGGAACAGAGATTGACAGAGCGGACATGACAAAGACAAGAAAGAAGAAGCGTAGCGTATTTATTTAAGAGGAAATCAGGAGATAGAAAATGAAACTGGTGTTAAACTGCTAAATATGTCAAGTACTATAAATGTGAAAATATAATTATATATAAAGCTGGAAGTATTAGCTGATTAATCATTGAGTGAATTGATAAAAAATGATCTGCATCAATTTAGATAAAAGATTAATTCATTATCATGCAAAAAGTGGGGAGAAAATTGTGGCTCCAGCTATTTAAATGTGAGGCTTGCTGCTATTTTGTTTTCTAGGATAGTAAATAAGTGAGTGATAGTAAGTGGAATATCTTTTGAGCTATTGGTTGCACAACAAGCAATTTGAAGAGGTATTTTTACTATTCTTTGTTATCTTATAAACCAAATGATCAATCAGTTAATCATGAAAATAATCTACAGTTGAATCAAAAATGAAAACAATCACTAATTGCAGCCCTGGTGAAATGATTTTGGATTGTCTGTGTACTATATACTTTACATCTGCAGGCGAGCATAAAGATAAACACTAGAAAACTTTTTATATTACAGCTGCAGTGTCTCTACAGTCCCATGCATGAAAATTAATTCACATTCATTCATTAAAACAGCCAAAACCAGCAAAATTTGTAACACACACACACACACACACACACAAAAGGTACTTACTCTAATAACTGAAAAGGTACCACATATCCCCACTCCATGAGTGTGTGTGTCACACTGATCTGAACGAGAGGTGGACGAAGGAGAGGGTGGAGACACTGGAGGAGAACAAGTGTCTTTGTCCTCATGGGTCTCTTAACTTTTTTACATTCTCCTTTTCTCTTTCTTCCACTTTTAAATTCTTCTACCTCTCTACTCTTCTCTACCCTCCTCTCTCCCACTTTACTTCTCTTTCTCCCTTTGCCAGTCTGTGCCAGTCGGTGGCAATGTGACCCTGTGAGCTCCTGTGCCAGGCGAACAAAGGAACCCTTTGAGGTTCAAGAGCTGCCAAATGGGGGGGGATTTAAAGGTGACACACATTTCACTTCCTTCTCCTGTGTCTCTCTGTGTGGGGCCCAAGACAGATAGGAGCTGCATTCAAGCTGGTGACCTAAATACCTGATCACTGTTCAATATTTCTTTATTTATCATATTGATTTTGTCTGGTTTTACTGCCATCTGCTAAGAAATTATTTGGTTTTCAGTACATTTAATTATCCATACCCAATGACCACTGCTCACGTGGATGGAATTAACTGAACTGAACATAACTTTGGACATAAAAAGCAGAAGAAAGAGAAAAAGAAGTGGAAGGAGAGAAAGTTAGGAAGAGAAAAAAAAATAGAGGATGGAAAATCAGAGGCATGTAAAAGAATATGGCAGGGAGGAGGAGAGACAGTGTGTGTATGTGTGTGTTGTAGGTCCGTCTGTCAACCTGGATCTTAGTTCAACTCCACATAAATAGGTCAGTGTGAGAAACAGGAGCCCCGGGCTCAGTCACACACACAAGGAGACATACTCACACTCACACACACACAGCTCATGTCAAAGTGAGAGAGTGTTTCCAAATTCTCTCAGAAAAGAAGGTGCAGTGTTGTACCTAGTGCCACTGAATCTAGAGACAATCAGTCAAAAGTTTTCTCCTGAAGAATGGATAATGCAGAACACAAAATAGAGGCAGAATATACAGGGACTCAAAAATGGTGAGTTGAAAAAAGTGTCTAAAGACAAAAAGCTATTTATTTCTGCATTTGCATGAATTAAAGGACGTGGATTTAACCCAGGAGTTAGATACTTTTTGTTTTTGGCTTTGAAACAACAGGAAGAGTTGAGAGAGAAAAGGCTGTGGTCTAATTACTAAACAAAAGAGGATAAGGGCATGTTTGCATGAATGAAAGAATGAATGAGGTCATTCAGGAATGTGTGTGTGTGTGTTTCACTTTCATCCATCTTTGTCCTTCCCAAAGGACCGAGACAAAGAGAGAAAAGGGAAAAGAAAAAGTATTAGAGCTGCAGTGAAACTCCTGCATTAATAAGACCTGCTGGTTGCTGTGTGCGAGTGCGTGCGTGCATGTTTACCTCCGGAATGAGCCCTCTCTTTCCATGTTAGCCTTGACAGACAGCTGCGACCTAGTGACCGCCCAGTAATTGCCACCAACCAAGCAGCATCTGAAAAAGAAAACAAACAGAAATACTTGTTGAGAACATCCTTATCATCATGTCTCATCATTTTAGTGATTGACACAAACTTTCACTTCTGGAAACAAACAAGCTAAATGCAGCTAATGAACACAGTTGATTTTCCAATTTGAAATCCATGTGAACAGGGTTTTTCATCTGAGGATATTTGGAGATGTCACAGTGTAGTTTTAATAAAATGATTGATGGTTGACTTGGTTTTACCTGCTTCAGTTTGCTGCACAGAGCTGTCATTAATGTTATCAGTTACAGCTGCATTTTTCATACTTTGTCAAGTTAAAATGTCTGCTGTGGAAAGTTACACCGCATATTTTAAGAAAACAGTCAATTCAGTTTGAGCAACTTGGAAAAGAAACTTGCTTTAAACTGGAAAAGTTTTGCAGAAAAAGATAGAGTGTAAAGGTGAAACCACAAACATCTACATGATGATCATTCTATTTGTAGTTATGGTTTACCAACCGAAAGAGATCTCCTACATTGTCTGCTGATCATGAAACTTAGCATGTTTTTCTATACTATTGGTTGAGTTTTGGAAAAACCATTGTCATTTGTGAAAGATTTAACAGCTGAAAGCTGCATCTCAGTCTGGTTTTATTAAGCTGCTATGAATAGGATTTGAACTTTGTCGGATCCCAGTGATTGTATCAAAAAAAGACATTGGCAGCAGAATTGATCTGACCATGGGATGAATGGGCTGAAAAGTGAAAACTTGTCATAATTTGAAAGATTCTTTAACTGCAACATGTGCAGTGGCTTGAAAAACAAGTCCATGTTAAAATATGAGATGCTGGGATGGCAAGTGCTCTGTAAGTGTTGCAGTAAAATACGGGCGTTCTCAGGGAGATGCAGCCGACTCACTGGAGACAAACAGGTGTCTACTCACCTAACTCACTGGCTAACAAGACAGTATTCTAATCAAATTACAGTAAAGTGGTTGAGAAAGACATTTGATCCTACCGCGAACTCAAATGCCCCTACTCGCTCATTCGCTCTCTCTCTCACACTCACACACTGATAGAATGACACATATTGTATATGAGGCAGGTTTGTTGTACAGGGCCAAACAGGTTAAGGCTGATGCTTCCTCATGACCTATATCCTGACCAAAACATTTTTGCTCTTTGTTTTCCTTGCTCCACACAGCCTTGTAACAAGACTGATAAAATATGAAATATTAAAGTGTTTGTGAATTACAGTGATAGTTCTAGATTTTTGGCTGAGCAAAAGCAATAATTAAAACTGTTTAATTTTTACAATCAGGGCAATCATTGTCTGTTTAGATTAAAACGGTGATGTGTGTTTGGCTGCATGGCCAGTAATGACTCTCCAGGGGTTCAGGCTTTACTTCCTGGAAAGTGTATTTGTCGCTATGCAATATAAACCATGATCTAATGTGGTCTGGCAGCTGCAGTACAGACATTACCAGGTCTATCCAATTTATTCATTTTAATTTCTTAGTTTTCTTTTGATTTCTTTGTGAAGCACTTTGGAAACACAAATGTGCTCCTGACATAAATTTACTTGATCTGAAAACATGAAAATAACTTGAACCTTCTATTTGGAACAAGTCCACGTGAACCTGCTTCGAGACGCTGATCTGAGACCAGAAAGGCACCACTTTCACTTGTCAAAGTTTGTGTATGGTAAAAAGGGTGAGTAATATTACAGTTGTAACTCTATCTATAGGGATGTCTCTGGCTTACTATGGCTCTGGTCAAATCAAACTTGGCCCTGCAGAGTGAAATGATGACACACACTGCACTGCACACTTTCTCTCTTTCTTAAACCTCAATGTTTTAATGCCTTGCTTAAGGGCTCTTAGACTGTAGTGACATGGATCATGGTTATGGGAATTTGAGAGTGATTCTAATTCAGGCTCCGGACAGATATTCATGAGCAGCAAACTCCCACTCATTTCAAACCTGACTTCACTGAGCATAAAGCCTCCTCCTACCTCTCTCTGAGCAGCAGACAGTTTACATTGTAAGTAGATATCAGGGACTCCACTGCTGAAAATTAACACCCATAATCTGCTTCAAGTTGAAAACAACACACGCGCGCACACACACACGACAGGGAAATTACCACCCTGCACCAGACCAAAGTAAATGTCTGTGTCTTGCAGCAGGTTCGTTTGCTTCACCAGACTCACGAGCAGAAAACCAAACCACAAGTTGGAGGTCTTGCAGTAAAAAACACAGACCACTGGTGTGTTTTAAGGAGCTACCCTGACAAACACTATGAGAGCCTGTCTCTTGTCTAACTGTGGGCAACTAGCGTTCAGTACGACACTTTCTGCAATGCACTCTAAATCTGGGCTATGGTACATGAAGCTGGTAATTAGCGATATCAATAACACCTGGTACAATAGAAAATTCCCTTTAGGGGAATTAAAATGTAAAGTTTTCGGTTACTTTTAAAGATTTAAGACAATAACAGGTTTTTCTTATCTGAGAATATCATCGTTTTGTTCTTCTGTTATTTTAAAAGTTTGGAGTTCGAGTTGATACTGTATACTCACTTTTTCAGAAGTCTTCCTCGCTGCGTTTTATAGCAAGTGTCTTCTGTGTCTAAATCGCTCAATAAAGCCAGAATTATCTCCCGTGTTTCTGTGAGGACTGGAGGTCTGTTCGCGGTGGTGAAACGTTTTACCGTCGCTGCTCTGTCAGCGCAGGTAACAGCGCGTGAAGGCTGCGCACGTTCTGAGAAGATCCGACGTCTGTGCTCTGAAGCCCGAGTGAGCTGCCTGCGAGCTGTCAGCGCGCCTTTCAGGACTGTCCGCGAGCGTCAGAGAGAGAGAGAGAGGGGTGGGGGGCTGGGGTGGGGTGGGGGTTGAGAGAGAGTTAAAGAAAGCCCAATTTGACAGCGGCGGTGTATGTGTGTGTGGGTGTGTGAACACCCAAGCTTTGTGTGTAAAGGGGTCGATAGGTGAGAAATTAAGTCTATGGAAAGTTTGTTTGTGGTTTTAATGTGTGTTTGTGTTGAGTGTGTGATAACAGACAGCTGTGGGAAAAGACAAAGACAAAAACAAAGAATTACCACGACTGCTACTTTTGTCTGCTAGCACATGTGACCAGTAGCTATAGCCACATAAATCTGGCCTCAGCGAGCCCCTTCTCCTTTATTATACATCCATTGTCATGTCTGCACAGATAACTGAATCAACAAGTGCACGTGCAGTGGTTTGAAGGCCATAGAGAGTTAAGAAAGTGTTCTGAAACTGCTACTTCATTTATCAGCAAGTGAACTATTTCAATATTAGCTAGTTCACAATATTAAACCATTCAAAAGCAATACTAAGTTGTGTTCACAAAATTTGTGGATGGTCCTGGGCCTCCCCTCACTACTAAGCCCCTGCATATGACACCTAATTCCAGTGGTGAAAATTCCCCTCCATTTACCATAGTACTGTAATACAATGTTGATGTACTTGAACTTAAATCAAGTATTTAGTTTTGCGTGGCAAAGGGGTAGTATGTGGTTGCCATGGGGGATGATGGGTGAGGCCTCCTAAAATAAAGACACACACTACTTCTGCAGGTGAATTGCAACAGCAAATAGCCAATAACATGTTATTTTACCATGTGAAATGGTTTGTTACTGCACTGAGACCTACATAAACAAAGAGCAGGCACACAGCACCAATAGGTCAATCTGGGTTTGGATCAAATCAATACACAGTAGTGATAGCCTACTGGGAGCAAAAATGTTCCCAGTCTATAGTGAAGAAGTAGCATGTTTTTGTAAGGGGAGTGAGAATCTGTGAACCTGCCTATAAGCAAAGGTCCAGGGTTCACCAAACTCTTCATTCATTCTCTGGGTATCATGAATGTTAGTATAAAATTTAATGGCAATTCATCCAATAGTTGTTGTGATATTTCAGTCTGATCCAAAGTGGTGGACCGATGAAAAGAAGGAAAGAAATGAAGAAAGAAGCCTCCTCCTAAAATTCAGACTGCCTGAACTTGATGTTTTAGTGCAGAGTAGAAGCAGCTTTGTAAGCAGGTTGAAAACATTGGGAGTCTTTGTTGGTAGCAGATTGGACTTGCATCATGTTTAATTCATAGTGAAATAATACACAGCCAGACCACTACAACAGCAGCCCACTGAAAACACTGGACATTACACTGAGTGCTTTTACTGCCAGCAGAGAGGGCCACTCAGCAGCTACACAGGCTTTTGTGTGTGTGTGTATACGTGTTGTCAGTTCAGAGCCAACTTGCATTTACAAGTTATTAGCTCTGTCCGGGTCCATTAGCTGCACACTGTGTCTAATGTACAGATCACTACATTAACTACAGAGCTCACTGTCGCATTAGACAAACTACACTCTTGTCTGCAGAGACCACATGCATATACAACTCTACTCTGCTGATAGTACACTTCCCTTCCTCCCCCACACACACACACACACACACACACACACACACACACACACACACACACACACACACACACACACACACACACACACACACACCTTTAGCCCTCAATCTCCACTGCTCCTCCCCCTGTAATAAGGAACAGGTTTATAATAACAAATTCTACTGGTCAAGGCCAGATTGTATCTTGAGGGTTCTTAAGACTATAAAACATAAAACACACACACACCTGGAAAAACACAGCTCACCCAGAGTTCACTAATCACTTAACATTATATAAACAGTGTTACTACAGTCTGTGCGCACGCAAGCACGCACACACACACAATATATGTATGTGTGTATATATATATATTTTTTTTTATTATTATTATTTTTTTAAACTTGAGATACTTTATTATTATACCTTTTATTATCCTAATTATTGTGATTCTTCTGGCTATACTTTCAATGTTGGGATTAAAGTTAGCCAGGAGAGTCTGCTCATCTGAATTCTGATGGAAATTTATTTCTGCAGTAAAGTAGCAGTAACAGTGCTTTTCTGTTTCTCTTTCACAACCTCTTTCTGATATAGTTTATGGCGGCAATGCGCACTTTTTACAGCAAGGAAGGTTTAGGTGCAAAAACCACAGTTCACACTGTAAGAGTGTTCAACACTGTGCGGGATAATACGAGCCGCATTCTGCTTATTTCCTTCAGAGAAACTGAATATAACATCGTTAGATAATCACATGTGGGTGTTTGAGGTAGAACATTTTTGAAACTTTTGTGTGGTTCCTTATGCGTGTGAAACAATGTAACTCATCAGGATGAGTTGCTCTCACTCTTCCCAGGTTTTGTATTTCATTTCCTCTCCCACACACACAGACACACACACACCCCCCTACCTCACTCTTTAAAACATTTAGTTTCAGGTGATTTCATACAGAGGGGGCTTCCCCTTCCTGGTTCTTGTTACTATGGCAAATGCTGTAACTTACATGTTTTTCCAGTGAGTTCACAGATGGAGGTTCAGTTCACTTTTGCATGATTCGGTGTCTGTTCCTGTGACCTCTTGGCTGCTGGATAGATGGTCTGTATGGAGATACACAGTGTTTGTTTGTGTTCAGCTACACTCCAGCTCCTCCAGTCTATTTAAACACACACAAACTCACATTAGACTGACACAAACAAACGCACATGGAGGACACGTACACACACGTTTGAGACCACAGGTGGTTTCTTTTTTGTGCCAAAAATGTGCTGAAATACACATGTACACAGACACCCATTTAAAACCCAGTGCCATGTTAATCTAGGCCGTGTAAACAGACGAGGGGAGAGAAGCTGCTGCTCTCAGGCCACAGGAAACAGCAGCAGGAACCTGTAATGACTCCACTCAGGAGCCAACATTGCCACAGCTACGTGATTACAGTAAACAGGCCAAGGTTACCACATCATCGCTACTGCATGGGGGATGGATGGGATTTTGCTTAAAAACTAGTCCAACACTCATTTTTTCTTTTCTGTGTTTTACATTGAAACAAAGAGAGGGATGTGTCTCATGTTAACATTTGAACCAAATAATATGGGTATCTCATACCAATCACTCCACCAATCACATAAAAGCTGCTTGGAGTTTACAAAAAAGCACCCTAGGGACTCTCAAATTGTGAGGAACAAGATTCTCTGGTGTGATGAAACTAAGATTGAAGTGTTTGCACTCAATTCTAAGCATCATGTCTGGAGGTAAACAGACATGATGCTTAGAAATGGTTGTCCCTTTGGAAGTTTCTCCATCTCCACACAGGATCTCTGATCTCTCAGCCAGAGTGGCCATCAGGTTCTTGGCCACTTCCTGTTCCAAGGCCTTTCTTTCCCCAATTTCTCAGTTTCTCTATGTAGAGTCCTGGTTGTTCCACACTTGCTCTTGGGAACCTTCAATGCAGCAGAAATGTTTTTCTAGTCTTCCCCAGATCTGTGCCTCAACACAGTCCTGTCTCTGAGCTCTGCAGGCAGTTCCTTCCACCTCATGTCTTCGTTTTTGCTCTGATACACATTGCCCAGCAGTGAGACCTTATATGGACAGGTGTGTGCCTTTCCAAATCATGTCCAATCAACTGAATTTACCACAGGTGGACTTCAATCAAGGGGCACAAACATCTGAAAGATGATCAAGAGATACGGGAGGCACCTGAGCTAAATTTCAAGTGTCACAGCAAAGTGTGACATTTCAGTTTTTCTAAAATTCTGTTTTCACTTTGTCATATCAGCTTGGATGAGTATGTAACATCATCAAGAGAACAAGAAACCAAGAACAAGAGCTGTTCTGCTTTCGTTTTAACCACTCCTGAGCAAAGTACTAACCTGCAGATCTTAAATCAGCAAGAGTGTTCCACTTCACTCACATCCTGGTCCACACTTGTCACGGCCCAGCTGTAGTTCTAAGGTTATTATTCTTTATTCAAGGGCAGCTGAAGGTAAGTGGAGGGCAGATGTCAGATTAATGAGCGACTAAATGAGTAAGAAGAGAAAAAAAGGGGGTGAGAACAAGAAGGAAAAGACACTTGATTCCACACACTAAGGGCATGTTTGCACGGACAAAAAATGCAAGGGTGATCGCTGTTTAGTAAACACACACATACACACACACACACACACACACACACACACACACACACACACACACACACACACAGCCCATCATTAGGCCCTTATGGAAACTCTCAGTCAGCTATAAAGGTTATGTAAGAGATATTTATCTGTGTTTATAAATATTAGAAAAATCAGTGGTTATTCTCACCAAAGCAACAACAAGCAGCTCAGACTTATGACACCACTGTAGTGGATCTTACCAAGTTATCATTATAACTGTGACTTAGTCTTGTGCTATTTGTGTTTAGCTGACGATGGAGTTTACACTGGAGCTACACTCACAAAATTATACTGCGCACTATCACATGTTTGTGTGTTATTGTTAAACAGCAAACTATCACTGTCAAATGAGCTGTAGTAAAGACTACCTCTCCCATAAACACTGTCTCAAAGAAAAACAGATTGTTATCCCATGTGTTTGCCTCTCCTGAAGAAGACATCATATAACCCACAGTTTCCTTTATTTGCTCCTTCATCTGATATTGTGAGACAGTCAGTAAAGTAGCTGTCCGACTTGTTGCACACTGTGGTGTAGTGACGCTCAGGCTGACTCCTAATCCGTGGTTCACCTGGTCATTTTATAAAAAATATTTTTGGTAATATTCTTGGGAGAGACATTCATGTTCCCTTCAGGATGATTTGCATCAGCTCTGATGATCCCCCCCGGCAAACTGCAGTATGCTAACACGGTAAGCTAAGATGGTGAACATGGCTCACATTATACCATGTTAAGATCAGCACATTAGCATTGTTAGCATTTAACTCCAAACAGTACAGTACGGCCTCACAGATCTGATTGCAAGTTGTCAGACACAAGGGCTTTTTGCTTAAATGCTACATAAACCTTGCTCTAACTGGTAATTGTTTGAATGAGCCTGTTATTTCAGTATGATTATTACTATTAAAATATTTGTTCATGCAGTAGACTGCTGACCTGGCTACAGGATATCACAGTGTTGTAGCAGCTTTCTGGTGGATGTCTGATGATTACATGCACTTTCAGTTTATGTCATAAGTGAACCACACGTCTCTGCAGTGTGGAGTTAAGCAGACCTTTCAGCAGTGCTTGTAGTAGGGTATTGATGGTAACTGTAAAAGTGCTTCAATCATAATATGACAAATATTTACTGATGCTAAAATACGACATAGCAAGACATAAAAAAGATGAAGAGATAAAGCATCAGACTGAGCCCTTCTGATTTACTTGCAGTCTCTAGATACTGTCAAGATAAGAAATAAAATGTGAAGTTGTGATGCATTTATACTGTAGATTCATACAGTGAAATGGCTTGTAATATTTACATGAACTGAAGCAAAGAACTGGCTGTTCTCTCTGTCTGCAGTCTGTGCATTTGTAGCTTCTCCCACACACATGACATCCAAAGACCCCCCCCATCTCTTTCTCTTTCGTCTTACCACCATCTCTCTCTGCTCCCTCGCTTTCTCCCTGAGAGTCCTTTCATTTCACCCTGCTGTAGAAAAAAAAGAAAAAGAAACAAGCCACTCTACTAATTGGCCATAACAACAAGCTGAATACATGATAAGTACCGTACACATACACACACACTTATTTAGGTTGACAACACAAGCTGATTTCCTTGTTTCATTCACATCCTGTTCATTCACTTCTCCTCTTTAACCTTTTTTTGCTCAATTACTTTCTTTATTCCCACATTCATGTAGCTCAATTATTCTTGGGACTTTGCAGAACAGAGAGAGATGACTTCCTGTATTTATATGTAATTATGTTGTGTGAGGGGACTGTTTACATGTACTTTGTGTGTGTGTCTCTCTCAGAGTATTTATCAGCTCAAGTCCTCTGTTCAACAGCAGATAGTGTCTCTGCCTTTTACTACACAGTAAAGATCATGGATGATTACCTTGTCTTCAGTGCTCCATTACGTGCTCAGTGACTGCTACTTAATCATTCACCTGTGTTTCTGGTGCAACCACGGTCATTGTTGTCCTCGGGCCACACAGTGAAGGGTAAATCCCAAAATTCACAAGCCGCTCAGTCCAACAGGACCCCAAATGTCTGTAGTTTCCTGCCAGATTTAGAAGCACAAAAAGGGATTTCCACGCATGAGTAAGAAGGCATCACGCCATTTTCTGGCTGCAGTCAGAGTCAAAATGTACCAGCATGTGGTGGGTGATTGTTTTCTCTCACTTTGCGACTGCCTCCTGTAAAAGTTGACACACAGTGAAAAAAAAAAAAAAAACAGAAGAAATATAATTTGGATTATTCTTCATGGATGCAAATGCCATTCTTTTGACCTTTAGGAAGACAAATATATGTGGGAGATTTGTGTTTAAGGGGCAATGTAACACCTTGTTCATGGTGTCAGCAGCTCACATGTGAGTGAGAAGTTGTAGGGTTGGCTTCATCTCATGATTGTCACATTTAGTCTCCATCTTATCTGATCTTTACTCTCTGTACAATCCAATGGAACAGAGAAGCTTTTGTTTTTTTAAGAAAAGTGGTTTTGGGCTGAAGGATTTAAATGGAAGTGTGTTTTGTCCTCAGGCTATAAGATACGACTCTACATGACTACGACTGTGATTCACATTAGGCTGAAAATCAAGCCTTTCCCTGCAAAAAATGACTAACTACTCTCTGGGAGTCAGGCTCATTTCGCTTTTTACAAGTCATGTATGTGCAAAATTTCTTATATTAAAGTAAAAAAAAAAAACTGAACAAAAGTGTCAGTGTCAGGACAAGGTAAAGTTTCATTCCTCAGCACTAAAACAAATGAGTCTGACTGGACTATTGAGATGACTGGAGGCAATTCTTTAAACTGCAATAAACTTTTTTAAACATAATTTTTTACAGTGAAGTATTCATATCAAAGCAGGAAAAGAGCTTGATGGAAATTTATTGTTATAATCTACCGGTAAGTCTCACTTTCCTTCCTCCCTTCCTTCCTCAGGCCTCTTTCTCTCCGGGCTGACTATGTTATTCTCACTGTATCCATAGTGACAGGTAATAAACCCAGGATTCACACCTCACAACAAGCTGTTTCCTGATTGGCCTTGAAGCAAGAAGCTATTTGAAAGGAGACCAGTATATACAGTAAATCCTGCAGGATACACAGTCAATAAAGATAAGTGCTGCAGCCATGTGGTGAGGACAAGTACTGCAATGACAGAGAAACAAAACTGTAGTGAGTTATTCTGATACTGTATTTATCCAGTTAGGTGTTTAAAGATGAGAAAAAGTTGTCATGTCATTGCGTACCTGTTCGTCCATCTGTTTGCCCTTTATCGAGGTTGTTGTGGTGCTTCATCGTGACCCCGGGGCTTGTTAAAAATCCATTGTTCTTCATATTAAAATCTAAAAAACAGACATAATTTCCTCTAATTCAATCACTTCATATAAGTCCAGTCACTCCCATTCATTTAAACAACTTTTATTTATTAAGTTTTTACAAATAAAGTAACAAATTTCATTGTATTGTAGCGCAAAGCGCAAAGTTTTTTTTTAATATGAAGCTTGAACACTCTATACTTAGTGCAAAACATACCATTAAAGGCTGCCGATGACTCCCTACATGTATTTTTTTGTTTTTCTTTCATTCATTCATCCATGTGTTGTTTTTTTTTATTCAACCACTTTTGTACAATGTCAAACACGATACAGAAAAATGAAACCACTGAATTAAGTCAGGTGCTGCTAGAGACATTAAAACTGCAGATAAAATGAGTGAGGAATAAAAAATAAAACGTGAGAACAGAAAAATAATCAACATTTTGAGAAAAAATGTTTTCAGTAACAGTCAGAGAAACTCGACATCTTTCCACAGGAGGAAGCTACAAGAAACAGCAAGGAGATGCACTAGATGAATCTGTGTGTGTGTGTGTGTGTGTGTGTGTGTGTATGTGTTGATCTGTTGGTGCATGAAAAGGCATTTTTTATTTATTTATTTTTTTTACATGAGGGCACTTCTACAGTAAAAAGCATAAAGGGTAAGCGAGTCCTGAACAGGCGAAAACTGTAAAACACCAACAGAAACTAAATCTGATCCTAATGTGAGTGAATTAAAAACAACTACTGCTACACTGTACGTGTGTCACCAGGAAATGAATCCCATTCTCCCAATTGAACTTCAGGAAACTTCACAATAAGAGTGCCCGCACTGGAGAACTCCCAAGCCTTTCACAGTAAGAGCCCTCCACTACAATTCCAAAAAAAACTGAAAAAGTCCTCCAAACCTAACTGTAACCTCAGAGCTTGTCAGCATACTGTAACTTTAATCAATATTGCATTGCAGCCATTGCACAGAAGGCATTCCTTTCATAGTAATTATGTAGTAGAGACACAGCAAATTATTGTCAAACTGCTACTGTTGAAATCATTTGAGGCTCGAGCAGCTGCAAAGTGTAAATCCAGGATGTTAACTCAAGCAAAACAGCTCCAGAGAGTAACAGTAGGTAATTACACTCAATTTTCTTTTTTTTTTAAAATTCATTTTAATCTTCACTTCTGATGGTTCCACTCCACTGACAGCAAGTCAAATGGCACTGAGTTGGTGGCATCATTAAAAGATTTGACAGAATACTCATAACCAGAACTAAAGCAAAGTGGCTCAATGATTATTCACAGCTTCAACCAAACTTGCCTAGTAGTAAAAATGTTGCATTATTATTCATGAGAAATGGAAAATATCACAAAAACCAGGCAAAAGCAACGTTTTTTTTGTACAAACTTTACAAAGTAACCTTTTTGTAATATTTTTATGTGAATCCAGAACACCCATACCCAGCAAAAAACCACAAAAAACAGATGCTAGGTTTTTAAGTGAATGTCAAAGTTTGTACCAGATATGTTTCATTTGCAGTGACAAATGAAAAGAGAAAACAGGACTGGGTGTCAAAGGCCTTGAATCTAAAACCTCGATAACGCAACTATCACCATCACTTTCATCATTTCAACCACCATCCTCACTACCAGTACAATCATCACCACCACCACCACAATGCTCACAGTCACTTTAATCACCACTGCTGTTACCACCACCACCACCACCACCGCTTGTTAGATTTTTGGCAACTTTAACCCCCAATGGTGCAGCTTTAAAAACATACAGTGGGAATAGGAGTGGATGAGACAATATTCATACCTTTTGCAGACACGTTTGTTTTTTTTCCCCCCAATAGCAGCAATTCTCAGATGAGGAGGCTTTCCCAAAAAAATCTGTTAAAAGGACAGCATAGAGCTACTGGCCTCATAAATGCTTTTTGATTATAACAGCAGTAAGCATGACAATATCTGTTACATTAAACTCTTGACACTTAATGACAGGTTTCTGTATTTTTTTTCTGTTTCTTGTCTCATTGGTTTGATGTGGGTGGGGCTTGGTCAGAAAAAGGTGATGTCACATGTCAAACCACACCCACACAGCCCCGATGAAGCAGATTTGGCGAGTTACTATGTTATGTAAAGTTTGAGTGCATTGTTTCTCTATGGAAACTGTCTGCAATCACCATTCATTAAAAATAATAAAATGGTGCACAAAAACAGAGCAAGACATTTTTTTTTATAACTACATGATCAGCATCAGGCACTCACATTACTTCACAAGCCAACTGCACTTTTACATCAGAGCACTGCTATTCCAATTAAACCCACTTCATCTGACTGTAGAGTTAATCATTGCCTCCGTCACATTTTTGGCTGCCAACTGGAGTCAGTGAGCGGAAATCAGTATTTTAACCGTGGTTTCATCTAAGTTCACATAGACGTAAAAGAAAAAAAAAAAAAAGATTTATGTTTTGGTATAAAATCTGTATGCCACTTGAGATATGTCAAGATTAAAATGAAAGTAACTTGAGATCCCTGTATCACTGTATCAATCCTCTCCTGACTGTATGCTGCACCGGGGCCAGTGCCTCTAAAGTACAGAGTGGTCCAAGCTTCAAATACAATCTTCAACAACTCCCTCCTTAAAACTTAACCCCCCCCCCCAACCCTCTCTCATATCTACATTTAAAACCCTGAAAAAATGGCACTGAAAAAGTATCACGTTCTCTCTATCTTTCATCCTGTTGGTGGTGTAACCGGGCCTTTACACACAGTCAGGCCTCATGCGTAGGTAAAGCACAGCAATGGGCCTCACTTCAAAAGAAACAACACTGACGTCAAATGGTGGCCTGTTCCAGTGTTCAGTGGTCAGTGTCACTGGTTTACATGGCGGCGGAGAAAGGATGAATTCATTTTTCTGTCAATACAAAGTCTCCAGTTTTTCCAATGGTTACATTTTTCATCCAAAGTTTTGCATTTTGAGGAAATTCCACTTCCACATGAAATTAACCACAAGCCCGCCACGGCAAACACAGCTAACAACAGCAGCCATTTTTACTGCACCCCTGCTCCACTAACCAGGTCCAGTCATCACCACTGACTTCAAAGCGACACCTCACAACTCTCCACACATGCTGTGCTTACTTTAACCCAAGTCCTTGACCCCAGACAAAGAAGCAACAGGAAGGATGCAAGGCACTAGTAAGTACCTCCAGTATTCACCGGAGGTCCTGGGGGAGGGTCAGGGGAAGCATAAGAGCGAAAATAAAAGACAGACTTTTTTTTTTCAAGTACATTAAAATGGACACCATTGGTTTATACATTCACATTCATCTAACAAAACCAGGGGAGAAAGGGAAGAGGAGGGCTATTTAAAGTGTCTGATATATAAGTACTGTATTAAGAAAAAAATAGCTAGCATTACTTTATTATCTAAATATCAACTATCCTGCCGGTTTTTCTTTATAATTGGGATTGGAGGTCAGTTTCAACTTTCAATTCAATCAGTTATAAAGATGAACTGAAACTGCAGTTGATTAGTTGTTGGTAAGGCATTTGTTTTGGAGTATGTCCTTAGTAAATGGATGTAAGGACGTTTATTGAAAAGAGGGGTTTTCAATTTTCACATTTTTGATGAGAATCCATTTGCAGAAAGCAGTGAATTGAAAGTGAAAGGACCCCAAACCGTTCTCTGTATGCTCGTTTTTTTTTTTTGTTTTATTTTTATTTGCGACATTTCACCCTAAAACTAATGTCGTCCAACAACATTTGCTAATAATAAACAACAATAATCACAGTGTTTCCACATCGAGCACCGATGTGTGTGTATAACAGGTCCATCGACAGAACACATTTTGTTTCTGTTTCTTTTTAAATAGAATAATAATCATTAACAACAATAATGATGATAATAATGTACATTGCAATCATTTCAACCCAAATGTTGAAACCAGCTTAATGATGACACTAAGAACTGAGACATTAGTCTATGAGTCTATGTCCGTTAAACAGCTGCTGCGCCTCCAACAATGTGTGTGTGTGTATGTATTTACATGAGTCTGTGCATGACTGTGTGTGTATCTTTATGAATGTCTCATGCACTGTGTATGTGTGTGTGTGTTTGTGTGAATGTTTGTTTGTCCGATTGCTAGCTGGCGGCGGCAAGCAAACCAAACTCAACGAAACAAAAAATAAAACAACAAAATGGAATCATCATAGCTGACTTTCTAAAAAACAAACAGAAACTGTACAGGGACTCTGATATTATTCTGATAACAAGGCCACTTTTTCACACTGAGTTCTCTCATGTTTGGGCTTTTTTTTTCTCCTCTAAAAGGTTTCTGCTGTTATTGCTTCAAATGGCAACAGAGAGGCGGAGAGAGGGATGGAGGAAGAGGTGCTCGTGATGGTGAAGAGGTGTTTGGCGTGCAGAAGAATCTGTTGAGTCCATTCAGTGCTGGACAGAAAACAGAGGTGACGTTTGGCTGTTATGTCATACAAACACTCTCTTGCTGCTCTCCACCTTCACCTGCTTTCTTCCCTCCATCTCTCTCTCTCTACTTGAACGGTTTGTCTAAACTGGAGAGGAACAAGACACAGAAAGTGACAGAGGAGTAGCAATCATGACTTTTCTCAAGCTGACGAGTCACAGCTCCACCGAGCGCTGAGCTACACCTATTCTCAGTATGCATTAGTTCGATTTGTTCTTGATATCCTTTGTGCTTTTAATGGTTACGAAAAACTTTTGAATACTGAAGAAAAATAATTTCCTGAACTGATTAAACTTAGGATAATAATCATAGTTTACAGTTCTAAACATCATTTTTTACTACCCTTGATATCAAAGCTTTTATCTGCTGACATTTACATCCTCCCTTGTAATCATTGCAGTGAAGGATGCAAACGTCTGCCAAAAACACTGCTACTGTTTGATTTCAGCCTCTCATGCACCGTGATGTTGACAACGCTAAGCAAGACACCTGTAATGTGATGGCCAGCCATGCCCACCCCTCGTTCCCAGTGTCCACCAGTTTCCTTATTAAATTTAGTGGAAAAAACTACATTGTTGCATGTTTGTCTTCTTTGAGAGCTGGAAGGCTGCTGTGCTTGAAGGACTGAACACACACAAACAGCACAGGCAACAACCAGTTCTTCACACAAGAATATGGAGTAATAAGAAGTTATCATGAGGTACTGTGTGGACAGAAGGGCTAAAGTTGGATACTGTAAAAACTGGCCACCACATTCCTCCCCTTTAACCTTATGTTATATCTTCCCACCATCATCAAGCAAGGACAAATGTGCGCTCTATCATGTACGAACTTGTTCACTCTATTTAGAGCATGAAATGGAACAAGTGTTTGACCAAGCCATAACAGCGCATACACAATACTGCACACACAAACAGTTATTAACACCAGTCCCACACCCTGTCAGAACCTCTTTGGCCTTTTAACATTGCACTCATCAGTCTTTTTCTTTGTCCTTGAGCATTTGGCTGACTGTCACAAGCCCACAGTTAAATACAGCAGACAGGAAGATTGTGTGGCTGCATTTGTGTCTGTGACAGCTTCTCGCACACTTGGATGGAAGCAGAGGCAAGTGGAGATAGCCAACTGGCACTCGTAAATTCTCTTTCCCGATTTCTTCTCTCTTCTGCTTTTCCTTTTCTCTCATGGACAGGTCAGCTTCTGACATTTTAAACTCCACACCCCTCCAGTTCTTCTGTCCTCTCCAGCTGATCCAGCCCAAAACACTCCGCTCCACACCAGTTCAGTCCAGTCGGGCCGTGATTCAAAGCAGCCCTCACCCCCAGCCCTACGTGGTCCGCAGATTGGGCCCTCCTGGGTTGCTGACTGACTTCTGCAGAGCATTGGTCAGATGGAAAGCTTGGAGTGGCCCCTGCCCGGGAATTTGGCCTTGTGGGGTGGAGTATGGGCCCAGGGGCTGGGAGGTGCTGACCAGCAGAGGCCCAGGCTGTGCTGGAGCTTGGTGTGAGGTTGACAAACCATGAGCTGGACCAGACCACTGTGCGCTGTAGGCGGCAGTGGGGGTGTAGTGGATGAACTGTGGAGGTTGGGGTTGGGGTGGAGTAGAGGAGGCAGGGGGGTGGCACAGCGAGCCCTTGCGGGCAGCCATAGAGGTAGCAGTGGTGGGGTTTGTGGGGAGGTGGGCAGAGCCTCCAATGCTGCTGGGACACAGCTGGCTGGGAGCCGAGTACTTCCTGCCCAGACTGGCTGACTGGATGACCTGGAGGGGGGGGGTTTACATTATTACATTAAAACATGACATTACATTTTTTTAAGCAAATTGTGTGTGTGTGTGTGTGTGTGTGTTTAGTACTGACCTCATAGCTGTGTCCCTGTGCTGGGGCTTGCTGCAGCTGTTTGGCACTCCTCTTACCCTGAAAAAGTTTGCTTGTTGTTAATGTTTGATTTCATTTACTCACCTATATAAAATGTTATCACACACAATAATTCATCATATTTGTTTTTGAAATGTTATCATAGACTAAAAATCTGGCTTTGGAATATGCACTTGACTTGACTTTGCTGATTAACAAAAATGTTAGCAACAGTCTGGGACAACACACCTAATGCTTTTTTTCCCACAACATTTAGCTAACAGTTAGCTGTGCCTCCATTAGAATTGCAGCCATTGCACACAGCGGCATCCTAATGAATACTACTAAAAGTAACACTTACATTAATTATTGATTTAAAGATTGCTTTGTCAGATAATCCATTCATTGTTTGGCCTTTAAAATGTCAGTAAAAGGTGTATTACCAGTCCCAAGATCTTGAGTTGACATCTTCAAATGTCCTGTTTTGTCTATTTAACAGTCCCTATAGATATTCAGTTTACTATCATCGAAGACTGAGAAATGTAACTGACTGAATTGTTTCAGCACTATAATGATCAAAAGCCTCAGCTGCAGTCAACTATTGCTGTATCAACAAGCAATAAAAGAAATCAACTGGGGGGTGGGGGGTGTCAACATAAATAAGATTCTGGAGTTACTGGCTATGTTAACACTCATGAAGTGCCAAATGGATACAGGATGTTGTAGATGTTTTTGAAAACATCCCATCAGCCAAGTGCCAGGATGTTTTGGCTGTGGGTTGTTTATCCTACTAACCACTTTGGCTTTTAGCAAACTGCCATTTAGAGTTAAGTTTCTTTCCTCTATCTCTCTTGTCGGTAAACTAATTACAGGAGCTGGTGAGTCACTGTGGAAGGAACATGTTCTGTGTCAAAACAACTTCTGCTAGCATGAATCATAAAATGGCAGTAAACCTGTGAGAGGTTCATGGCGTCTCTGGCCCAGTTGTCCACTAGTTTATGGAGATCGTCGGTGAAGGTTCCTTTCCTCTGGTGTGGGGCTGACATGTTGGGGGCCAGACACTGAGAACCGCCCTGGCTCTGACCCAAACCACCTGAACCGCTCACTGCGTTGGTGCTGTTAGTCCCTGTGAGGAGAGGACAGAGAGAGAGGAGGAGAACAACAAAGAATGTGAGATATTATTCAAACAATAGCATGAAACTGATGTAATCTCAATGAATGCGAATGAATGTCCTGTCTTGACCATGAGAGGGGTTGTTATATGGTGACAGATGCTGGTCAGGACAGAGTTTTAGGGCAGGTCAGCATGTTGACATGATCCTAGAATTATATTGTTCAGTTTTAATGATGGATATAATGATAAACAGGGACAAGAGACAAACTGATACTAGAGCAACATTTTACTGCAGAACATGGGCACTTTTGCCAACAATTTTGACAAACTCTGAACATGTTTCAGTATATAAATGGTATTAGATCAGGGATACACTGGGCAATCTGCAAAGCTGACATTCCCAGCCACATTCTCCTCCAAAATGCTCCTACACACCACTGAGTGTAGCTGTTGATCAGACTTGCCCTGTGTACCACTGAGCTCAGTGCTTTCATTTATTTTTGGACCAGTAGATGGCACTCAAGCTCTGTAACAGCAGCGGGTAGTCTGCTCTTTACCAATCCTCAGCATCAAACTCATCATGGCAAATTCATTGCAGAAAAAAAAGAGAACACTGCAAACTGGCTCGGGTGTCTGTATCTATACAGCTTCTGTTAAAGACTAAATAGGCATTATATATTATACAACACCAGTACCATTATCATACCATATCCTAAGTCTGTACTTCTTCATGTTAGTGCCTCTCTGCTAAGCCAAGAGGAAACTAAATCACTATACACTGACACTGTAGAATACCTCAGCCAGAATCTCAGAATTAAAGGTTTCACTTCAATCAAATCTGCATCCCAAATATTGCAGATAAGGCCCAGACAATACAATGTACATCTTTCACATTGTTTCATCTTATCATTCAGGCTAGTGAAAGAGGGTATAAGGATTAATAACAACTGCTATCTTTATTTTACTATGAAGAATACTGTAATACACTTACTACTCGTTTTCTTACTTTATTACCACCCCTTTACTGCACAGTACCTCAAATCCAGACTATAATTACAAGGAGCTGATGCATTTCCTTTGCAGACAAATGGAAACCACCCAAGGCCATGCTGTCAAATATTTATATAATCTGCTCCTATCAGACATCACACGAGAAAGGACATAATATGCAGGGATTAACCAGGAGAAAACTAACCATACAGTTGGTCTGACAGAAACTGTCATGTCATGCTAAATAAAATGGAGGAAAATAAGAATGAGGAGACGCTGAGTCATGACTGACTGCAGCAGCATGGAATTCTGGGCAACGTAGTCTAGACCACAAGCCATGACAAGGGAGGAGAGGAGAGGGGAGGAAAGGGAGGGGGCAGAGTGGCAAACAGCTGTTCAAGTGAGTTATTGTGTGTTTGAACATGTGTGTAGGGGCTTGCATGTGCATGCACTGTCAGTTTGAATCTGTGATGGCTGGTCAGTTCAGTCATTTCAGAGCTCAGACTTCTCTGATCAAAATCGTCATCACCAAAACCTTGAAATGAAAAATACAATGTTCCCATTAGCCCCGCTGGCTGAAATAACTGAATTGATCTGATCTCAAATCTGAAAGTCAGAGTTTGAATCTAAGAGGGCAGGGGGAAGCATGGGAGAGCAAGTGCAAGGGATGGAGGTGGGGGATGGATGGAGGGAGGAAAGACCAAAAAGAGAGATAGTTACTACAGAGCTGGTTGCAGGGGCAGACTTTTTTCACCATCTTCCCTGCGTGGCCGGAAGACAACAATTGGAGGATTTGGAGAGAGTCAGAGTTAAACCCCACCCACAGCACCCGACAACCAAACACAATGCATGACTTGAACGTGAAGTAGTCAATAAACAACACTTTGGGGTTGAGTTGCCCAAGAACATCTTAACACAGACCAGTACCTGTCACACAGTGCAAACAGACCCTTGAAACCAAAGCAAACAGGAGATGAGAGTATGTATCTGCAATTTTTAAAAGTGTACATATGATATCTATACTTTTTAAAAAGGTTGTGTGTCATGATGTGTCTGCTGTAGGATCTGTATGCTGCACTGTGCGAAAGACTGACCCCAGATGTCAGGTTACGAGGCTGCCATCTTTATACACATGAACAACTAGGTAAAGATGCTCTCTACGACAAGGCCGCGATATGTGGGAAATCTTCTGAGGAAATGCAGACACCAACCTTTTGCATACTTGGCTGACAGTTACTGCAGTAGCAACAAATGACAGGTAATCCTAGAATATAAATACTTTGAAATAAAATAGATCATATCGATATTTTTTTGATATGTTTAACTGGAAGCTAAACTGAGCTTTGCTTTCATGTCAACAATGACGTTAAACCACCAACAACTGTTGGTAAAATCCTCCTTGTACACTGCCTCAAAGTCTTTGACCATGTACCGTGGCTTTAAGATGCTTTTGGGTAACCAACACCTGATGATTCTGAGTCCTCTCTACAGCTCACAGGGCCGTACCAGAACTGGGTCCAACAAGGATTCATATATACAGACGGGTGACAAATTAAAGGACAAACCTGAATGATTGAGTGGAGAAACATAACAAATGCAGATGCTTCCACACAGATGCACTGCATGGTATAATTATGCAGTTGACATCCAATCATGCTCAGTGGCATGTATAAAAATGCTGAACAGGCCCAGCTGATTCTGATTTTGTACCACAAGGGCAGGCGGAAAAGATCTAAATGACTTTAAAGAGAGTATAATGTTGGGGCATGGCTGGCCAGAGCTTCAGTCACAAAGGCTGCTCAACTGGTTAGTGTAGAGGCACACATGGGTAAGATGTCAGTCAATAGGGTCGGACAATGTGGTCGACATCACATTTGATGACCGTGATGCTTGTGCTTTAGTGCGATATGTAAGAAAAACAGAAGAGCAAGTCTTCCTCAGGTGAGTGAGAATGTTAATGCAGGATGTGATCAGACTGTCAGCAAGAACAGTCCATCAGCAGTTACATAGAGAGGGATATTACAGTAGGGTCACAGTACTTAAACCCCTCATTTCCAAGGCACATTTGAGAGTACAGTGATGCAAAAACCAGCAGCGCTGGTCTACACAGATTTGGAGAAAAGCGATATGGTCAGATGAGTCATCCCTCACCATATTCTCAACAAGTGGGCGAGGTCATGTGTAGTGAACACCAAGAGAACGGCTACAGGCCAGAAGGCTTGACCCCCTACAGTGAGGGGATCCAGTGGCTGTTATGCTATGGGGGGAATTTTACTGGCATGGTTCGGGTCCTCTTGTCCTCTTAGAAGGAAATGTCACTGCCAATCAATACAAAGATGTTCTGTCTGTATCCTGTGATGAAATATTTCTATCCTGATAGGAGAGATCTCCTCTAGGATGACAATGCCCCCATCCACAGGGCACGAGGGGTCACTGAATGGTTTGATGAGTATGAAAATGATGTGAATCAAATGCCATGGCCTTCACAGTCACCAGATCTAACTGAACACATAAGAGAGATTTTGAACTGACGTGTCAGACAGCGTTCTCCATCAACGCCAAATGAAGGGAGATGTTCTGGCTCACATGGTGACACTTTATGTTTAATTCTAATCATTTTTAATTTTTAAAAATGTATTTTTTAATTTGTAACCCATCTGTATATCAAAGTAGTGTCATTCCCCTTGTATGATTTGTTCAATGACTGAAATGGCAAAAACAAAATGGCATTTCAGGGGATTATCACACTGATATCAAACATCATTAACAGAGACTGTGCCAATTTTATGTACTTTTTTTTCTAAGCTGGATGTTTACAAACAAGAACAAGTTACAACCACTTAGACCCAGGTCTGTCTCTCTCCCCTCCTGGCTGTGCAGTGACAGAGGGACAGGTGAGGGAGAGAGGGGGTGAGAATAAGAAGTGAGGTAAGGAAGGAAAGAAGAAAGGGAGAGAAAGGGTTTGAGCTGCAGAGGGTTCAGAAGCATTCATAATCATCCCTTCATCAAGCACAAAACATTTCACCAACACTACATATTATGATTATAATATGGATTAAGAACAATTTAATTATGAATAAACAATAAATAAACACAGCACAGTATTTGAACAAAACTGTGCTTAATTAACCAATAAAGTTTAATTAAAAATAAAGAAAAATGTCCTGACAGAACTCTCAAGTCATCAGGTCTCAACTTGTCTTTCCTTGTTAGTCTGCTTGTTTTAACAGGGAAAAGGTGATTGATAGAGATGGATTCAGCCAGGATTTAAAATTCAGATCGAGACACAAACAAAACTTCATCATCTGTCTCTAGCTAATGAGGCCTAGAGATGAAATGGACTGAAGGTCGTATGGTGGTAATGCTGCTGGCTGCTCACAGTGCAAGTTATCATGCACTTGAAGCCTATTCAACTGTTAACAGGTTTGCCATTTAGCATTAGCTGAATCACTAAAATGTAAATGTACAGCGCAATGAAATTATGACATAATTCATGTGCCTGCAATCATTTCTAGTTGCATTGCACTGATGAAATGAATTCATCCGTATTAATTTCATGAACTCAAACTCCATTTTTGATACAATTAGTGCTCAGTGTTTTTCTTGTTAAGAATGTCTCCATAAAACAGGACAACGGTCACATTGTGCATTTTTTTGTCAGCAGATCAGTTTTGAAGATTGCAGGGAGTAATGGAACAACACCTCCAACTTCACTGTGCCCTGCTGTTGAAATCAGGTGGCGTGATGGAAAAAGGCTGATTACTGACTGACTGATATACCAGCTGTTCCTCTATTGTGTTTCTGACAACAGTTGTTTTCTGTAGTATCCAATTGCACTTGCTGTTACCACCAGTAACCATGCTGTGTTCACCAAATCAACCAAGACTGAAATGAAGAAAGAAAGAAATGAGCAAGTACTTATCTTTCATTTTTCCATTGTCTTCTGCATCTAAAAACTATTTCCAACATACACACAAGGATGTCTGTGAGGTGGTTATGTAAATGTAACAGAAATAAGCCACTGATTTTAGTTTAAAGGCCCGATTTAAGCTAGAAATTTAGTTTGGCTGGTAATTTGGAGCAAAGTACTTCAACCTTAACTACTGCAGTGAAAAAGCTCTCAGGTGTGAAGGCGTGTTAAAGTAGGAGTATGTATGCTCAGCTAAGTTCCCATGGGAAAATAAATGTTTTCTACTAATTCCTGAAAGCTGGCTTTTTAGGATTCATCACAATTCTGCAGGACACTGGTGATATCAGAAGCAGAGGGTCTTCCTCCGTCAAAGAAGAAAACCCACAGGAAGACAGGATGACTGTGACTTGACGAATATAAGAGTAAAAAGAAAAAAATTGAACTAAGGTAAGTAAGGATGACGGATAAAAGAGAAGAGCAAAGAAATAAAGCGTTACACACAAAGAGCCAAGCAGGGCGTACTCAGAAAGCGCGTCCTCCTGCCGCCAGGCTTGAAGGCCAAACGCTCCGAACCCCAGCTGAACTTTACACAGCCTGAAGAGAGGAAGGAGGGAAGGGAAAGGAGGAGAGGGGAGGTGAGGAAACAGAAAAGGAGAGTGCAGAGGAGGCAAGAGGAATACAGAGAGAGGTGAAGAAGAGAGATGGAAAGAAAATGAGAAGAGAAGAGAGCAACAAAGACATAGGAGAGAAGAGAAAAATAGATAAGAGGAAGACAGAAAAAGAATAGATGAGAGGGAAGGAAAGAGATACAAGTGAAGGATACACAGAAAGATTGTAACAGTCAGTTAGACGTCACACTGCTTTACACAGAGACAGAGGGAGAAATAGACCAAGAAAGTTAGAAAAAGATGTGAGGAGTGTCCTGTTGTGAGGGAGTGAGGACAAACCAACTGCATGCATTTGTGTTTGTCTGCATACAAATAGTACAATGAGTGTTTAAGCTCAAAGACTATGTGAAGTATTTCTTGTGTTGTGGGGATGTGATGAGGCCCGCTACATCCTGGAATTCCCAGCAGCATGCCTACCTGGGGTGGGAGCACACAGGCTGGGGACAGAGAGTGCTGCCTCGCTGGTGTAGGCCGAACACAGGTTGTCGCTGGAGGGAGAGGGTTTGAGGGGCTGGAGCAGAGTGCTGCTGCCTGAATCGGCTAATCCTCCTGGGGCTAGCAGAGCCAGCTGGCCGGGGTACATGGTCGGGACGCTCTGGGCGGATAAAGTGCTGCCTGGAGATAGCACAAGGCATAGGCAGGAGAGGACAGGGCAGGAACGACACACCACAGGAAACAGAGACACACACAAACAGACACACACACACACACACAAAGATAACAGACAGATAAGACACCCGTCACCCCAGACATTTACACAGACACCCCCAACACACACAACCATACACAGAGAAAAACAGACAGGGAAAGCAGTCAGAAATTTTTAAGCTCCGAGCCTGCTCCAGCGTACACCCCCATGCACGTGTAACCAAGCAGATAAACACACACACACATATGTGCACACAGATGCATAAACACAGAGACGGTGTAATGTTAGCGTAAATGTTGGTGACCATTTTGGCTGTAGTGGACTTTGGGCTCAAGATTAAGGTGCATATCTGTATCAGATTTCATGGCAATCCATTCAAAGGTTGTTGAGACATTTCAATGAAAACCAAATATCAACTTGGTGCTACACAAAAAGTCCGTAAGAGTCATTGTCTTGGAGCCATTAATATCTGAACCAAATTTAATGTGCATGGCTTGATTCTACTAGAGTGAAAAAACAGTTTTCTTTATCTTTTGGAGGGTTGGGGCAAACTGTGCCTTTACTATAAATGTTGAAACAAGAGCCTACCTTGCTGTAATGGACTCTTGCTGCCGTGCGTGGAGCTGGTTCTGGACGATTTGGAGGATTTGCTTTTGGTAGGTCGTCTCCTCCTGCCAGTCAAAGCTATAACTGGAGGGAGCACTGCAGCCGGAGGAACCTACGCCAAGACCAAAGGAAGAAAGGCAGCTTGTTATAAACTGTATGTGATGCTGTTCAAAGTGTCTGCACTGATGTAACCGAGGTGAGTTACCTTTCCCAGCCTGGTAAAGAGACTGTCTATTTCCTCCTTTTGACGGGAGTGGAGGGCCTGAATTTCACGCATGTGCCTGGCGGTAAAAAGGAGGATTAATAAATATTTGGAATAAAATGTCGACAGGCAAAAAAGAAAGAAACAATGAAAATGAGGGAGGAGGGCCTAGTGTTCTAGGAAGACCTGGTTAACCTCATTCTTGAGGGCGAGGAAAGGAAGAAGCAAAGCACAGCCTGCTGTTTTTGGGGCAAAAGAGGGAGAAGAAGGTGCATCTATTCTCTCAGATTTAAGAATAAGAGAGTATAATTTACTTTTCTCTGAGGCGGTTGACTTCACGTTTGAAGTCTTCATCCTCAAATTCAGAATCGTTGTCACTGCTGATGTAGGAGTTGTTGAAAGAGTTGTTGTTTAGACTCGGCAGGGAGGCTTTATGAGTGGAATCTGGAGTCAAAACCTGCCCGGGATCGCTGGGTCCATTAGCAGCCTGGGTGGCGGATAGAGGGGTCTGTCTGGACTCAAGGCTCTGCTCCTGGGCACGACTGACTGAGAATCGACCAACACGGGCCTCAGGGTTGGTGGTGACCTGAAATGTAGGACAGTAGAGTTGTATAAGAATGTCATTTTTTACACATTTTTTTCAAGTTTTCCAGTCTGGAGGAGAATTTCTATACTTTGACAGGTTATTGCAAATCTACTAATAAAGAAAAGTTTGAAACAAGTTGTAAAATAGTAGAAATACTGAAATACCTGGAAGCGCCCGATGGTAGTGGTGGGCTTAGGAGAGGGACAGGGGGAGGTGAGGGGGGAGGGGTGGTGGGATCCTCCGAGAGTCCTTTGGGGGAGCCCGTCCACAATGTCCCCTCCTTGTCCTCCTCCCCCTCTCAGAGGAGACGAGGAGTCCTTGTGCAGTGTGTTCTCCGGGCTGGAGAGACTGGAGGACGAGGAGGAAGATGACGAAGATGAGGAGGTGGTGGAGGAGGATTCAGTGCAGGCCGGGTGTTGGACTGGAGGTTCTTCAGCAGCCAATGAGACCTAAGCAGAAGAGTTGGAAGGAGAGGGGGGAAAAGCAACAGGGACTTTTTTTAGGCTGGGATCCAGTGTACATTTATTATGCCACCCTTAGATGTGAAGTGTAGGTACTCATGTCTGGGCTGTAGCATGGAAGAGGTTTTACCTGGAATCTTCCGAGTTTAATTCCACCTGCAGAAGGAGGAGCAGGAGCGGACGCAGTTTCATCATCCAGAGAGAAGGGTACTGAAAGACAAATGTTACAATTATTAAACAGACAGATACAGAGACAGACAAAAAAAATGACTAGATTTATTAAATTCATTTTACTGTAGTATACATACTTTGTTGTCCCACTGCAGGTATGCCACTATGAGAGGCCTGGGGTTGACATTCAGAGAGGAGAAAATGGATTAATGTCGAGCAGTGTGATTTAATCAGTATATATTGTACAATGTCAGTATGAGCTACCAGAGTAGGATGTTAAGGTGTGTGTGTTTACCTGTGTGTGTGTGCTGACAGGAACAGTCTCTGGGCTCAGTGCCCTCCTCAGCTGCGCATCCAGGTCTTCTAGAGGCTGCTGCGACTGAAGAAAGATACACTTTTAGATACACACATAATAATAAGAAAACACACACAGGGTCAGTCACTGTGGTTGGTTAGCACAGATCAGCAAGAAGTGTGGCAACTACAGCTGCAGATACGATTTTATCATGCTATCATTATACAAATTTCTGCTATTTTTCTGCTATTCAAAAAAAGTAAAAATAAATTTTTTTGTTTTACACACATGAAGAGTTTGGTCTTGTGTTACATAACAGTGGAACACAAATAGCTGCTTTGAACATCAGATTAATTATTTTATGGGTGATTCTGGATATATTTGCCATATCAACACTGGAAAATATCTTTATCAACATAGTGATAAGAATTTCAACCATGTTGTAGAGCCCTGGCGGCTACACAAAGCTCTGCATTGTTATGCTCTGATTCAATCAACCATCACTAAACAAGCATACACATACTATATCTTGGTCCAAATATAACAAGATGTATAATTTCTGACAACACCAAAGCTGGACAAAAGCATGCAAAGGAGGATTTTTCTACATCTGAAATTTTGATTTTTCATCATCAAAATTCACACTGTACTCATGCATGTACTTTTCTAAAAGCTGCAGCAGAAAAAATGCATCATCTCTCCAAATGTCCTCTCCTGTGCCGACACACAAACACAGGTGATGTAGAGGGCACAAGGTTTTTTATTCACTTGAGCATTTTAACTGCAATTAAAAAATAAATCATTAGAATCCAATCTCTTGTGAGCTTTGACTACAGAGGGATTATCTTAATCAAAGAGGACAAGTCTCTCCCCTGAGAGTTACATAAGAGACGAGACATGAATATCAGTAACTTGGCAGGTCGGATTTTTCATAAAGGAGCTACAGGTCATGTCTCTCTGTTCAGTGTGCTGCTCTAGTTAAATGGAAAGTCTATTTTTGGACAATGGCATTCACAGCCACAGCAACAACAGTCTGGAAATTAAACTCAGTCCACTGTGTGTCTGCTCTGAAGAACCAGGTCCTCAGCTGCCTCTCTCTCTGTTCAATTATGTTAACATGTCTCTCGCCCCTTTTGTGTCACCTTTCTCTCTGATTCTCTATCTACATCCTGATCTCTCTCTTTTATCTTCTATCATTATTCCTTTTTGATAACGTCCCTCTATCTTTTAGACTTATTTTTTAATCTAAGCTTTAACTTGTAGTTGCTTGATGTATTCATTTGATGTTACAATGACCTGTTCTCTTCTTAAGTTCTGTTGTTAATTATTCTGATGTTTATTTAGTTGTTTGGGATGTAATTTTCTTCTTTTAGGGTTTTGTCACATATAGTTAAGCTTTAATACTGTCTCTCTAAGTATAATGATTATAATATGCACTATAAACTTAAACACATTCTGAGCAGCAGAATTGGGATAAGCAGAAGCACTATTCACAAACAGCACATACCCATATTAAGTCTAAAACAGCTACAACAAAGAACTAATATAACTATAAATATAATAAGCTCAGTATGAATGCAGTATTACATTGCAATGGAGACAGCACTTAAAATGTCTTAAAAATGAGCAACAAAAAAAAAACACCTGTATTAGACAAGGTCCAGGGAAGGATGGCAGGAGTTCTGAAGGAGGAGAACTGGCCTAATCCCAGAGAAAGAGAGGTGATGAAAAGACAGAGTGGGAGAAAGGAGAGAGAAAAAGATTTGTAGAGGAGGTTATAAGAATAGTGTTCATTGGGGGGAATGTTAAAAGAAATTTGCATGCTAGATGAGTTGTAAGGAAAGTGAGTAGAAACATGTTGGAACACCTATAATTCCTCAATATTAAACTGTGACTTCTTAACGTTTAGAAGTGTAGTTGAGTAAATTATCTTAGCAGTTTCACCTAAAACATGCACATGCTGTCTGACCACATAATTAAATACATATTAATGACTTAACTAGAGATAAAATGAACTAATATTTCTATGTGATGAAAAACTGTTTCACTCACCGGTACCCTGGATAAGGGGGTTTTAGATGGAGTGGTCTGGCCAAAGGATGAGGCAGGGATGACTGAAGAAATTGAAATCATAAAGTTAGAAAGCAACATTATAAAACTGACAACAACTTAACTAATACTGGCAACATATTCTTCTACCTACCAGTCTGTGCAGGGGTGGAAATAGGTGTCCCAGGGCCCTGGATTGGAACAGGTGACCCCAGTGACCCCAGCGCTAGGCTGGAGGGGGGCTGAGGAGGATTGGCTGGCAGGCTAGAGCCAGGTGTGGTAACAGATGTGGTGGAGGTAGAGCTGGGCCCCATTGGGGACGAGGTACCTGCCACAGGGGCCCCAGAGGCAGGGTCAGCAGCTAAGATGTCACCCTGGGTGGAGGGCACTCCTCCACCGAGGTCCATGAAGAGAGACCGCAGCTTCTTCTCCAGAGCTTGGATGTCGTCCGGTTTGCCCTGGGACTCAGCAGACGCCTCACACCTGAGAACCATATTAATGAATGTTTTGCAATTTTGCTTCATAAATGACTTCCAAAATTTATGTCAGCCTTTGGTAATTGTCAATTTGATACTCAATGCTAAGGATACATTTCAGTTAGTAACAGACAAGTAGTGAGGTAGTCCTAATAAATAAAGTAAATAGACTAAATAAAGACATTGACCACCTCTTACCTTGCATCACATTCCCCACAGTGTGTGTGCGTCTGCCCAGGCAGGGCTGCTGTCTGTGGCTGGGAGTGGACCAAAGTTGGTTGGACTGAAGTAACATTTGTGGTCACTGGCTGGAGCCCCGCAGAAGAGGAGGAGGAAGGGGGAGGAAGAGTGGGGTGGGAGACGGCAGAGGGAGCGAGCTGGGGGCCTGTGATGGCAGTAGTGGGGATGACAGAGGAGGAGAGGGAAGGAGTAGCGGACGAGGTGGGAGAGCCTGACGGATGATTGGAGGAGACTTCACTGGCTGTAAGAGTGGAGGAGGGAGGGGAGGATACGAGGGGAACGCTCTGGGCAGGAGGAAGGGAGGTGAGAATTGTTGGGGGGATGCTTGACATGCTTGCCGGTGGTAAAGTGGAAGGTACTGAAGTAGCAATGACAGCAGAAACTGTTTGGGACTGAGGCAGGGCAAAAGCCTGGGGCTGAATTTGTGCTTGTCCCTGGACCTGCACCTGTCCCTGGGTCTGGGAAAGTAATTGCGACTGAAGGATGGACTGACTCCCTACAGTAGGAGGAGGAGAGGAGGAACAAGGAGGACTGAGACGGACAGCGGCCACAGAGGAGGGGGTGGAGGATGAGGAAGGGGGAGGAAGAGAGGCATCCAAGACCTGCTCCTGTGCCTTGTTTAAATTAGATGGGACAAGCCCAGCAGAAGCCTCAGCAGTAGGAGTGACGGTGCTAGCCTGTGAAGGGACAAGGGCAGCTGCAGGCTGTAGTGGAGGGTGGGTGGAGTGAATGGAGGCTGGGGCGGTGCTGGGTCCTGTATCAAACTGATTCTGGTTCTGTCTGAGCTCAGAGAAGGCTTGCTGTAAGCTGATTGCTCCTGCAGACTGGGACAACACCAAACCTTGGCCTGGAGTCTGAGATGGAGCTACAGCTGAAGCTGGAGGAACTGGAAGAAGAGAGAAAGGCAGTTTCAAGCCACAAAGCCCATCTTTTGGTGAAATCATGTAATTCCAGCACAGCTTCACTCAACTTACCCCTGTTTAGAGGTCTAATCAGCCAGTATTGAAAACACCTGTGCAGCTGTGCACAGCCTTTAATTTGCAATGTAACTAGTAACTATAGTTGTCAAATAAATGTAGTGGAGTTAAAAGTACAATATTTCCTCATAAATGTTGTGGAATAGAAGTATAAAGTAGCATAAAATGGAAATAAATCAAATAAAGGACACACACCTAAAAATATTACTGAAGTACTACACTTTAGTAAATGGACTGCCCACCACTGCAAAGCACCAAAAAGATGATTGAAGATGTGTGTGTTCTTTGTAAAATCAAATTAAATGTCACCATTTCATAACAAAGACATTTAGAGAGACAAACATAATAAAATCCTGACTGACATATGTACATTTCATTTATTCAGGAATGTCTAGGTATTACTGTGTTACAGGTTTCAGCATGTATTGAGGTCAGAGTGTGGATAAGGGAATACAATTAACCACTTACGGTTAACTACCTGCAGTCTAGTGATCCTGATTGGATTTGCCCCAGTAGACATCTGCCTTGCAAAGGTATGTGAATCCAGCAACACTATACCTTATTTCTCCTTTGCATTATTCAGAAAATTAGGAAAAGCCAAAAGATGTATTTGTTCTTTTTTACATTTTGATTAGTCATAACATTACTGTGTAATACAAAAGGTATTTTTTTTTTTAAATATTTTGATGGTATGATGTTTAAATTCCATTCTGATAGAGGATTGGATACAGTTATTTATATTCCAGCGTTCTACCAGAAGATCCTATGGTATCAAATTAAATAAATGCCAGTGTGTTATTGCATTTGGACGGAACATTTTGGCAATTTCCTCTAAAAGCATAACAGCTTAATCTGATAAGTGTGCATATGTGTGTGTGTGTGTGTGTGTGTGGTTGGCACACTGTCACGGAGTACACTGTCATTTTATGTGAATTTTTGGCGTGTTTGAAGCTAAAACTTCACACAAGCAACAGAAAACCTCATAAGCATCATCAACAATCCATCAGTACAACAGGAAAAGGGACATTAGTAGTGTAATGATCAGACATACTTATTTGGGAAAAAAAATAACGCACACACGCACGCACACACTACTTACTTGTTTCAACAGGAGGTGCAGGGGCAGGAGAAGGAGAGGTGGGGAACATTTGCTCCTTCAGCCTGGCTTCAGGTACAGGGCTGACGATAAACCTCCGACCTGCTGAATGGACCACTTGTGCTGTCGCACTGGGAGTGATGTCTGGGAAGAAAGGAACAGTGATACACAGCATTATTATACACTATTGTCTACTGCAGTTAATCTGCAAAAAATGTAAGTTATTATGATTTTCACAACTGTTCTTTTTACCTGGCATGGGGACAGATATAGCAGGAATCTGCTGCTCCATGTCTCCTGTCACCTGTAGAACAATAAGACAACTGTAAAGACTGAAAGATCAACTGTGACCAAAAGAAAAGGTGCAGATAATTACAATTGTATTGTTCTGGGTTGAGTGTATACTGTGCAGTGTGTGTGTGTGTGTGTGTGTATATATATATATATATATATATATATGCACACACTACTTAAAACTTTTGACTGTAATTTTCACTTTTAAATCAAAACACCAACTGCTACTATACATCAGAAACTTTCAACCCCAAATAAAGAAGTGTGAGTAAAGAGTGTTTTTACCTGGCTGTTTGTGTCTCTTTCCAGACCCTTCTCATCAGCATTTTCTATCACCTCCCTGACCTGCTCAATGAACGACTCCCTCTCACTCTCCAGGATAAACTCACTCTGGACCTGGACACACACACATGGTGAAAAAGTCAGATGTCAGACGTTTGTGAATAATATGTGACAGAAACAAAGCAACAGCTTGGTTCACGCCTCCGATGCCAGTGTGTATCCACAGAGGTGTAATTCTGCATCATGAGTGAGCCTGGTGACAACTCTCTAAATTAAAGCACGAGGACAAGAGCAAAGCGATTATGTGTACTTCAGTGGTTTCAGATGACAAAGGATAGACGGCACGCGCACTGGCATGTGAAACATATTCCAGCCTAATACAGAGCCGTTAACAGATCACTATGACAGGAGAGAGAGTAAATTAATCAAAAGGGTGGAAGAGAAAATGAAACAAGAGACGGCGTATGCACCATGATCTGAGCGATCTCCTCTGGGTTGTCACCATCCAGGTCAAACCTGAAGGTCACCATCTTCCTGTTGTGGGTCTCCAGCTGACACTCTGCTACCCTGTCCCCTCGGTTGGAGATCTACACACAAACACACACACACACACACACACAGAGAAAGAGAGAGAGAGAGAGAGAGAGAGAGAGAGAGAAAAACACAATTAGAAAGAAGGAGGCAGGATATAAACAGATGAGTGTCTCAATTAGATGTTTTTCATTACTTTTACTGCAGCTCATAACACTGTAACAAGCAATAAATCCCATCAGTGGGTACAGTACAAAAGAGGATTTAATGTTTAATTATGACATTATAGGATTTATGGGATGTGCTATTACATTGAGAACATTGAGTTTCGCCTTGGAGATCTTCTCATGGCGCGATCGACTTCGTACAGAGCGTCTTTGATGACGCTTGGTGGAGCGCCCTTCATGACGACCTCCCCCTCCTCCCTCATTGCCGTCACTCAGACCTGAAGTCTCAGAGTGGCCACTGAGGTACAAAGGAGAAATGGAAGCCAAATTTAATAAGAGAAAAGAGAATTAAATGGCACTGAGTGTGAGAAAGTGTCACAAAGACTGAATGTGATCGAGAACATTTGCTTTTGTTTGAGGATTGTAGCGCCAGTTCAGTAATTGTGTGTGTGCTTGTGCATGCATTTATTACCTCTCTATGGATGAGAGAACTTGAGGTGGCTGTAGTTGGGACTGGGACAGCTCTGAAGACTGAGAGGCAGACTGAAACACACACAGGCACATGAAAATGCGCATACATACTCACTCAGTATAATCACCAACAACACAACTACCAACACCAGGGAAATTTCAAGGAAAGGAAATACAGCATGAAAGCATGAAATACAAGCAAATTATGACACAAGTAAGAGAGAAACCTGAGTAGACTGCAAGCAATGCCTTCATGATTTTAGAGTAAGAACAACTCAATTAAATTAAAATATGAAGAGCAGACTTAAGACAAATCACATAGGAACTGGGTCGAACAACAACTAAAACTAGAGCATGGAACAAAAGAAGCAAAGCAAGAACTGCCAAAAAGCAGAAAATAAATTGTCTTGCATATATTTGATGCATACAGTATCTCCAATAACACATGCAACCTGGTCTCATAGGTAAGGTCCATAAATGATGACCTAAAAAGTGAGTTCCAAGGCCGGCACTTGGACTCTGCAGACAGTGATAGAGTGATTCTATTAAACACCAGCTAATTGTGGAACAATCACCAATTTTAACAGATGTTTTTCACTGGCTTAGTGACATCGCACAAACAACCCAGGAAACTTTTCAAACAGTCATTACTTGATTGTGGATTTTTTCACTGATAAACGAATCAATGTTGCCACACTCAAACTAAACCACACCCACTGTTCAACACGAAACAACAAACTGGTTATTTTGAGTAAATGTGCTGGAAACCACCTATGAATCATAGCTATCATAAAATTAGACAAAATTGTTTACCACTCGTGCGTCATTAATTATCACTCAAATTTATGAACATGACATGCAACGTAGACAAACACTGCTTTGACAAATCAGAGCAAATATGGATCCAAGTGGGATGCCCTAAGAATGGATGCTGCAGAATTTTTTACTTTCCGTTATCAAAATTGTACCTTATCAGTTCCACTGCATAAAACACAGCGCAAGTTTTCAAACATAAAAATGTTAAAAAAAACAAAACAAGAAATAAATAAAAAATAACCTTTTCAAAACCATGTTGAATATGCAGTTACACTAAAGTTAAGACTGGCATAACAGTTGCCTTTCCAGACATAGTGTAGTCTGAAATAGTGACTGTCAGAGCAAGTGATGGAAATATTTGTTTTTAAAACAGAGCTAAGAACCACTGATTAAGGTGATACTACTATTTTTTTGAGTTACCTATAATGAGAAGGGGACGCCACGAAAAAAGAATCAGTATGAAGCAATGCTCTGGTTTAAATCAAGTTTGGGGACCAGTCAGGGCACCCTGCAGCATTTAACTTTGAACTTTGAGTACACTGAACAGGGATATGACATCCATTTGGTAGGTTCGACCGTCTGTAACCAGTACCTGGGGAGGGGCTTCCATGGGAGTATCAGGCGGGGCGGTGACTACACTGATGATTGGCACCACGGTGGCCAATGGCTGAGGCACAGATGTGGGCACGGGAGGAGGAGGGGAAACAATAGTAGGCACCACCCCAACAGGGAGTGGCAGAGGAGAAGGTGGGGAAGCCACGACCGGTGTTGGCATGGTAATAGGAAGGGATGGCGACGGAGAAGGGTGCGTCACCAAGGAAACGGTAGAGGTAGACGGAGTTACACTGGGCTGAGAAGAGGAGGAAGGGCATGAAAGAGGAAGAGGAGGAGGCAGAAAGGAAAATGAAGGGGGACGGAGAGAGCAGATGAGGCGAGAGGGTGGGTAAAAAGTGAGAAAAGGAAAGGAGCAGCGTCACAGTGAAGCTGACGAAGTAGATAAACCCGTCTAGTGATCAGCTGTGCACAGACAGAATCAATCACCATGGTAATGATACAGTGAGCTGAGGATGGTCTTTAGTTTGACTGTTGTTTTGTCTAAAATACAATAAAGGCTTCACATCAAAAGATGAATGTGCCTTGAAAAAGAGCAGATAACAGATCTGTCAGCTTGTGAGTCTTCATTTATCACAATGATAAATCATGTTAAAATCAAGCCTCCAGAGGAAAGAGCCATCCATAGCTCACTGACCCATTACTGACACGTTTGACTCTGAGACCCTCAACAAGCTGTTTTCCGAGTAAAACAACTACAACATAGATCAAGTCTATTAATAACAACGTCTCAAGCTCTTCAAACAACAAACTTTGTGACAAGACAATCGTGTGAAACACACACCAGTCTAAGACCATGCAACCACAAAAAAACTTCTACAGACAGTGTACGGCACAGTGTCGAAGATGGTGCAAATCCAAGCAAATTGTTTGTGCAATGCAGATGGGCAACACTCTTCAATACCATATTACACATGGGGACACAGGGCTATATAGACCTCTTTACAGTGTGACTTAAAGAGCTGTGCTGAGGTTAGTCTTTAAGCTCACCTGCTTTACTTCGGGAAAAACTGTCCTATGAATCGATGCCTTAGAAGTCAGGATTTGGTGATAATACGGACATAAATAGTTTGCTAGTCTGAACTAGGTTGGTAGAATTAAAGTTGGGGGGCCATAGATGAAATACTTACATTCTGCTGGAGGCATTAAAAGTTCTTGGTATTCTCTATGTTGCAGAGTATTATTACAACACTGGTTCTAAGAGAATAACAACTGGAGCACATACTAGTAAAAATTGTCAAAATCAATTTTGCAGATACAAAAAAAAAAAAAAAAGAAAAAAAGAAAAAAGGTAAAAATGACCAAAAACCTCCAAACATGTTGGAATTTGCTGCCTTTTAAACAAAACTTTGCATGCTATAGTCACTTCAGTAGCATACACACTATTTTTACTGTCTATTAATGCACATCAACTCAAAGATAAATATTGTATTTCAAGGAGTGCAGAACCAACAAGCCAGTCAAACTGATTCATTTCTGTTACTTGAGGTGGTCAATCACTAAATGCTTCAAACATCTACCTTTGGGAACCAGAAGTTTCTGCTACTCTATATACACTACTGACTTAAAAGACGCTGTTATAACCCCCACCAATCATCACATGTCTACAACTGAAGACTGAAATATTTTTTTATTTTAAGTATCTGCTCCTTCACAGTTCAATTTACAAAATGTGTTCTGTCCATAAAAGTGGCAACAATCTTAAAGACACTGATACTGTTTATATTTCTTCAGTACCACACCATACAGGATATTGGACTGGACCATTCATGTATACACATTTCAAGATTCCTCTTTTCCCCACCGTTTCCCATATTAACCTTTCACTGTCCATCAGTTCTGATCCTTGAAATATTACCTAAGCTTTAATCAGGTGGTTGATATGAACATCTTTGGGTGCACAAAGGATAACTACTATGGGCGTCAACACAAGGCAGAGCTATATCCAAAAATCACAAAAAAAGAGGGATTCATTTGCCTATCAATATTCAGTTCAAGGTCAAATACATTCACCAATCTAATCATGTTGATACATAATTACTCACTAAGACACACACATACAAACACACAGGTACACATAAGGACAGACAGACAGGCACCTACAGTATACCCACATACACTGTGATACATCACAGTACCTGAACCAGAGCTAGATGAGCAACTTGGTACAGAAAATAAAGGTGTTCTATACTGGGAGACGGACTGAGGTCACACAACTAAATACACAAACACACATACATGCATACAGACCCATAAGTAGGCACGTTAAAACAAACCCGGTGATAGACAGGCAGCATGCCGATGAGCGAGCCAGAGAATGGAAAGAAAAATAGAAGAAACAAACTGAGTCGAAGAATAAGTTTAAAGTGAGAAAAGAACCAATTCAGGATGCGCAAAACATGCAATAATTACACTTAGAACAAGAATGACAACATGATCTTTGAATTTCTTTTCTATTTGTTTACTGGTAACATGATTAACCAACTGGCTGAAGGGCAGGAAGTCAAAAAAGGTGTGTGATTGGTGTGTGAAAGGATGTGTTGATCAGTTGTGAGACATTTCTATTGTTGCTGTTCATGTCCACAAGTCATCTGTTTATTTATGTGTATTTATGCCTATGTACATGTCATTGATTGTGAGGAATGTTTGTCAGCCTTTTCCCCACACACCATGTACACGAGGCTACAGCCATTTGATATAGGCACTTCCAAAGATCCTCCTGCTGAGAATCTGAACATCCATGTATAAATTTAGTGGTAGATTTCAAAATTTTATGTAGCGCTGCCACGTTTCCACTGAATGTGGAGCTAATCAACAAACTGTGTATGTGTAAATGTCTGTGTATGTACATGTCCATATTTGTCTCTGTGGCCTCCATGTTTCCACATATGTTTAAATCTACTGTAAAATATATGGGAAATCAACAGAGAGATGTTTGGAACATACATTAACTCTGTGGTGTCAGCTTAAAATGTGCATAATTACTGTATGTATAAACATGTAGGTAGGGAAGTGTGTCAATAAAATGAATGCGGACATAAATAGCAGATACTGAATTCAGTCCAGCACATGTGTTCCAGGGACTAGTGCCAGCTTGAGCGCATTAGGAATGTGTTTATTAAGTATTGTGCTCCGTTTATAATGAAATTAAAAGCGTTGCTGTACCTGTGCAGGCGCCTGCGGCAGAGTTGAGTGCGTGGGGCTCTGAATTGATGTACTACTCTGACTGGATGAAATGACCTGGTGAGAAACAAAAACACACACACAGAAAGAGTTTGTGAGGGTAAATGTAAACATTTACATGCACATAAACATCCTTTTTTGGTTTGTTCCTTTTTTAACTGGAGCAGTTCCCGATCACGTCCTGCTTATAATAACCCAGATAAACTCAAATCCCAGTTATGAAAAGAAGAATATTATATGGAAAACAACAGCTGGGGAACATCAGTTTCATTTCAATGTAGTCCGTTCTATTTTATCCCCTTTATTGATAATTCCCTGTTTAATGGTTGACCTTGACCAAGATAACAATCTGAAGATGTTCCTAAATGAGATATTAATGTTATGATATCACTCTCACAAAATTAGCAAAAAATCTTTTATAAAATGTATAAAGATCTATAAAGGCTTGGAATGCAACTGTTATGTAAACATGGTGAACATAACATGCAGGATTGGCTGTTTTGGTTGTTCAAAAAAAGAAAAATGACTACATTCCATCTTACGCTGACAAAAAACATTTGATCTCCAATTAACATCCAATTTCATGCTCAATCAAATCAGTTTAAGGCTGCAATTAGTTCATAACAGTGGTGTGTGCTGGGGGCAAAAAAGTTCTTAAAAAGACTGTGGTATTACTGCAGGCAAAGTGCCAGCTCTGTGGAAGCGGTTACCTTGAAGCAACGGCAACAACTTCAAAGAGAAAGCCGACATAAGAGTCATTACTGTATAAGCACAAAAATAGGGTGGGATCTATTTTTATCTTTATGGGGTTTAGACATCAAGGGATCTTAAATGTGTGAAAAATGATAATGTAAGGAGAAAAAGGGAAGAGAAGTGAAAAAAAAAGTCTGGATGTAGAAAATGTGACTTGAATTTACTGGTTTCCTTCTGTTGTTTTTCTTGTAGTCTTACTTGTTGGGAGGTCCCAGGGGGAGCTGGCTGGGAGCTGGAAGGGACTAGGGGGGTTCCCACTGTGGGCTGGGGGGTGGAAGTCTGAATCTGCTGCTTAGAAACAGATTAAGACAAAGAAAGACAGAAAGATGGACAGAGAGGAGGAGACGTTGCACGATGTGAAACGATGGGGGGCAAAGGTGAGAAATCAAGAGGAGATTGGAAACAAGGAGAGAGAGAAAAAAAAAAAAGTCAAAACATGTTTATAGCTTTTCGGATCAGAAACTGTACATGAGTGCAAACACAAGGTACTTCTGCAGTCTCCTCTCTAGTGATCAGTTTTTAGTCTAGATTTTCTTCTTGTGTATGCACACATGCACGCAGACACGACAACACATATTTATCTGTCCGGCAACAGATATATGCACACCAGCACCTACTGTATGTATATGCACATACACACAGCTTGTAGTGTAGCATGAACAGTACGGGCATTGTACTGGGGTTAGGCCGGGTGTAAGTACAGGGTTTTTTTCACATGCAGGTCAGGCCCTACGTGATTGGCAGTAATAATAAGTGGCTGTTACACAATCATTGAAGCACAGAGTAGAAGCTGGACACCAAACATTAAACTTGAAATATTGAACTTAAAGATGAAGATTAAAGATTTCAAACCTTATTGCCATTTTCTCAAACAAAGGCATTTTTAGAGACCAAGGTACAATAATATTTGGTACTTGAGTCATGTTTGATTTTAGTGGCAGATGCCACATTGCCTGATAAATCCCTAAAGAAAGCTTAGAGAATCCTCAGATCACTTTATGATCTATCCTCGTACAAATTAATTATTAAAATAAAATCTTGTATATGTTTCCTTTCTCTTTCCAGAAAGGTTCAATTCATTTTCATTTGATTTTTGATCCTGGTCCATTTCTTGTGAACATCAAGTCGTACAGAGCTGTACTTATTCTACCTGAATTTTATTAATGATCTACAACACTGACTACAGGACACAGGCAGTTATAACCGATCTCACTTAACCCTTAGAAGGTTGTATGCAACTTTATACTTGTCATGAAGCTCGTCCTCACAGTATGGTGGGAGCTTACAGTTAAGTATAGTTGCACCAGACATACTTCCACCTACCTTTTTCTAACATCATAGGCAGTCACATAAATTTCACAGCACAGAAACTGAATAAATCAAATGTATAGAAAGATCAAGAACTGAAGATAAATATCATGAAACAAAAGACAGAAAACAAAGATTGAAGAAATGAAAAGAAAGGACAGTGATCCTAAGTGGTTCAAAGTAAACATAGAATTATGATAATATCAGCATTCTAAGGGTTTAATGAATTTCAACTGCAACCTTTGAACCCTGTGTGGGAAGTTGATTTCCAGTCTGAACAGGAAATGGCAACATATTATAATAAAATAAAGAAGTGACTTGAAGCCAAGATCAGCAATTACAACACAACACAAAAGAAAGAATCTAAAATACACAAATAAAATGTCTCTGCACGGTTACATTGCCAGGTTTGTCTAAGCCCCCTCAGTTTTGTTGTATGTTTCTGTGTGTTTGTCCGTACAAATCAACAAAGTCTCGTTGTAGATTCATAACTAATAAAACTATTCAGTGTGTAGATGTCTACAGTATATACATTAGATAGTTTTTACATATAAAATGCTTGTCAAGTGGCAATTATGCTGACCTTTCCATCAAATGGACTTTGGATTTGTACGAGAAAAAATCCAAGTATACCATACATACAGTATACCTGCACAAACACACATTTCTCATATACATTCATATATGAACATACACACAAAATATTACTTACTCATATTGACAAATAAATGAAATACACAACATAAAGACACAAAAGAGGGGCTTAGACTGTTTGCTTATAAAGCTTATACACTGGAGAGTGTCTCAAAGACTACCTTCTGAATGTCGCTTTTTAAGTTAATAATTATTTGACTGACAATAATGATTCATGTGTTGGACTTCAAATCAAATGTTTCTGGTCTTGGACTTTCCCAGATGTGCTCTGGGTGGTGCCTGTCTGTGTAAGTCCTTACTGAGGTAGCGCTGACAAAAGTCAAGCCGCTGACAAACATGTCTCTAAATTCTTCTTCTATAAGCAAACACTGTCAAGGAATGAATAATGGGACATTATGAAGGCAGACCATGAGACTCTCTCTGTTGCCTTGATGGGACTGGAGGGGGTTAAAATCACAACCAAAGACTGGGCTCCTGGGTGGGTAATATATAAAAACAACAGGGACTGGTGTAACTGCCTCTGGGTCAAATTACTATTATAAATTAACTAATTGAACTTTTTCTAGAATGATTAATTTTACCTGATGGTTTACATTTTTAATTATTCTACTATTCTAAAGTTTCATGTTTCAAAATTGCAGACTGGTAAATGACCTTACTGGCACGAGGCGGGGGAAGAAAATGAATGCATTAACTGTCTTCACAATGTTAGAGGTCAATCTGTAAATAAATAAATAAATTTTCAACCTATGCAATGGTTAAAATTTGCAATCAAAGAAGACAGAAAGAGCACAGAATAACCTAATATAGCAATTACAATATATCCATCAATTGGCAGCTGATGGCAAACATTTGCTAAAAAAGCAACTATGTAATTTAGAATAGCAATTGACCCAGGGGTCTAGGGATGTTTTTAAGGTCTAAACTCAGTACCAGAGTGGGGTTAGCGGCCTGCATGGCCAGCAGTGACTCATGGTATGTCATGTCAGGTTGGGCAGGTACCACCCCTCCATGCCGGGCCCAGGCGCTCTGGATCAGAGACTCCAGATGATTTGATGATGCTCCCCCAAGTGGGAGCTCGGAGGATGGGGTGGGAGGGAGAAAGCTCTGCATGGAGGGTGGATGTCCCTGGGGATCTATGGGATGCACTCCCCCTGATGAATCGTAGAGCGCAGTGATGGATGAATGAGGGATGGACTGAGCGGCTGAGGAGTCAAATGTGGGGAGGAGCGGTGGGGGAGGGGGTGACTGGAACTCTCCTGCGTCAGAGGAGGCCAAAGAGTCACTAGAAGGTTCTGGGCTTCTGTCCTTAATGGTTACACCTGTGTGGTGAAGAAGAAGGCTTCCTGGAGGTAAGGGGAGCTCAGGACTGACATAAGAGTACAGCTCTTCTGTCACCGGCTGGAGACGGCTGTACGTGCCTGAACCACTTGATCCAGTTCCAGTGTTGTCCTCCAGAGGGAGGTCCATGGAGCTTCTTCGGGCCCGGTAAAGTCTGGATGCCAGGAGGCTTGGGTCTCCAGCAGCAGCTGCAGCAGCGGCAGCGGCAGCTAAATGGAACTCAAAAACACTTCCAGTAGATGGTGGGGCGTCAGACATTACTGGAGGTGCAGAAATAGGAAAGGCAGACGGGGAAGCATGCTGTGGTGGAGGATAGCAGCCCTCAGATGATGAAGAAGAAACAGAGCCACCAGTGGAGGCACTCATGGGAGGTAAGGGTGGAGGGATTGGACTGTGTGCACTCATTCTTTGCATGATGTGAGGGTGCAGGAACCCTGGTTGAGGTGGAGGACCAGGATCAAAACCCAAACTAGCAGCAGCAGCTGCTGCTTGCCTCTGCTGATGGAAACTCAAGTGACCAAGCTGGTGTGCAGTCATTGGGTATCCTCCATAGGCCATTGCTTCATAATGGTCCAGTAAGGCAGCTTGATTTAGACTTAATCTCCGCACTGCTTCCTCATGCTCTGCTCTCATGTCTTTATAGCCGTACAAACTCGGGTCAGATTGTCCTGGGAGGTGCAGTGGCTCCGCAACGCCAAGTCTTTGAGCAGCTGCTGCAAAACCAGGATTTATCATAAACAGAGAGGGGGTCTCAACACCCTCCATCCCAGAAAAGGGGTGCAGGCTGCTCCCATAGCGAGGGTAGGCAGGCTGGAAATGTCGGGTGTGTGCCTCGAGAATGGACGTACTCTTGCGTCGCTGGGTGTTGTAGGCCTTTGGAGGCCCAGTGGGTGGAGGCGAGAAGGAAATGGGACGCTCAGGGATGGAGGGGAAGAAAATAGTAGGGGGGTCAGGGAGAGTTGGGAGGGGAATGCTCCCTCCTGCTCCTCCTCCTGCGCTTGTTCCTCCGCTGTAGGGGTGTGGCATTGAATGCTGCTGCGACAATGAGATACAATGGATTTAAGAATGAAACTCAGAGAATGAGAGAGAGAACCACAGCAAAGGCCCACATGGAATGGAGAAAATAGTCAAATAGTCAAAAAGAGCATCCTTCCAAAACAATACAAAGAGAAAAAATGACACATATTCTTTCTCCACACTAGAAACAAAATGATGTGGTTAACACAGGACAGAATATACCGGAAAGCTGTAGAAAGATGTAATGAGATGAAGAAATTTTGTAATGTAAAGATACAAAGCTGGTTACAACAGGCTGACAGAACAAGTGACAACACAAAGACAAAACAGAGACACACACACACACTGATAGCTCACAGGTAGATAGAAAGAGGAGAAATAGATGCAAAGACAGGAGAGGCCAAATGCTGCCTCTAAGATCAACAATATCCTGACGCATCTGCACTTTCATCTTGTCCCTGCAAACTTCTGCTGACCTGTTAACTGAGCAGCTGCAGCCAGCAACTTCAATCAAATGGATCGAAATATATATAAATAATTCAAGGAATGGGTCTACGTCACTTTGACCAAGCATACAGATAAGTTGCTTCCATTTTGCTTTTGAGACAAAATCTGAATGAGGGATTTGGATGCAGAATGTTTTTATAAATGTTTTAAACATGTCGTCCAAGAATAGACACTAGAAACTAGGTTTTTTTTAACTAGCTGATCCCAATTTTGAGAGAGCAGAATGACTGATTAATCGTGTGACGCTGATATTTTTTTTCTTTGCCACTCCAAAAAGGATCAATGTTTCCTGAGGGTTAGGGCATGTGCAACATGCATTTTTGCATGTACATCTTCATGCCCAAAAAATACCTACAGAAACAGAGACTGAGAAGGTAAGAGAGAAGGCTCCGGCAGCTTCTAGCACAGAAAAAAAAGTGCTACTAAACCTGGCACCTGTTCCAGTGTTTAAGCCATGTCATTCATTCTTAATTGTTTCTATACATCTTGGATAAAGCAACTTTCTAATGGCTAATATTTTACACTAATTTCCCTTTGAAAACGACAATTTCAATAATTTTGGCTGCCAAATGAGCAGCTCCTGATGGCAGATGCACAGGATATTAGGCATTTGTATCTTAGAGTGAAGTTAAGGGTCAAGAAAGTCATTCTGTATTCAGTATAATCACAAGGTGGTCTATTAGAGGGAGAGAGAGAGGGGGAGAAAGAGGGAAAGATGGATAAATGGATGGGTAGAACAACAGACTCACAGCAGTGTCTGAAGGATTGAGGTCATATTAATCTACTTACTCACACAGGTGCCACTTAGAATGCCTTAAATTTAGAATATAGTTAATCTGACTGATTTAATCTTTTACAATTAGATTACAGTAACGGCTCAACCTACACAGTTTAGACGTCATTGCTCCATAGTTCGCTCTCATTATAGAAGACTACACCCTGTATCAATATTCAGTAAAGGGGACTAGGAATGCTACAGTCTTACTAAACAAGTTCAAAACGTTTTCCTCCAGCTTCTTAACTTGCACTTTTAATTAACTCACAAATAAATTAAATTTCCGATTCTATGTGGTTGTGTCATCCATCAGTTAGAACAAATAATTGGTACTTGAATAGCACATTTAATTTGTCACGGGTTTCCATTTACAGCGACAATGGGCACTCTCATAATGAATGAAAAAAAAAGTTTTTTTTAGCAGTCTTTTTTATCTCTAATTTCAGACACCAGTGTGGCCCATGCCCTTCATCTTTCTCTCTCTCTCTTCCTCTCTGTTTCTCACCACCTCTGCCCCCTGGTGATTAAGATTGTGAACCTACAGGGGTGGAGAACAGGGCGGGTAGGCTGGCCCTCCGCTGCCTGGCCCTGGGCACAGAGGAGACAGAGTGAAGGGGTAGGACTGTCTCCAGGGCTTTGGAGAGGCGCCCAGCGAATGTATCCCTCTCAGCAGCGAGAGGCATGCAGGGGGAGGTGGTGATGTAGGAGGACGAGGAGGACAGATCTGGAGGAGGGGTGGAGGGCTGCTTTGGAGGAACTGCAAGGGGTGGAGGAGCATGGGAAAAGGAGTAGGAGGAGGGGGGGACGCAAACGGACATGCTACGACTTCGACGAAGGCGTGATGCAGGCTGTACAGGGAGCGGTGATGGAAAAGGGTGGGATCAACATGAAAAACAAACACAAAGAAAGTAAAATACAAAAAATTACTCAAACAGAAAACACCAGTAACAGGATGAACATGAAAATTCAGAGATTAAGTGAAGAAAACGCACAAAAAAATCAACTATGTGACTGAAAAAAAGTTACCAAAGAAATAGTTACAGTCTTGACCTTCAATTTTGTGTTAAAAAAAATACTTGATGTTATGTTCCATAATTAGAATAAGAATCAATTAGCAAGCAAGATAACAACTACTAAATTATTAAAAGATTTAGAGAGAAAATAATTCTCTTAGGGAAGGTCAATGCACCAGTGATGTTGTTAGAGGAAGTTTAAATCTTTCCAAAAGCAAATTTCTTAATGGGGCAAAATGTGCTGTATCATACAGTTAAAATGTATAACAACAAAATCCAATAAGACAAAGACTCATAAATTCTTATGACAAAATGAAAGACAAACTGAAACACAACAATGACAAAAGAAATGTCAATATCATTTAAAACAAACAAAAAAAAATAAACACAACATTGCATAAGGAAGGATGATTATCCAAATAATTCTTTAAGTTGTTATTGAATAGAATAAACAAAGATTGCTGGCTCCAAGAAATGATATTTGATGAGGAAATAAATCTATTAAGAAATGTTGTGTTGCTTCAAAGACAAATCTAAAAAAGTACGTAATTGAGTTATTCAGTCAGCCTACAAATGGAATGATCATCCAGCTCAACAATAAATCAGTCAGTGTGGGTTCTGGTATTCTGGAACAATATTTGTAGCCAAAAGGTCACCAGATGGAAAGGTCTTGTGTGGAAAATTAAATGAGAAATATTCGCCTCTCCATTAGCAACTACTTATAAGGTGCCAGTGAGTAAGGAATTTGTCAGGGCAGCTAAAAGGTCAGCAAGATTATGGTTAAAATAGAAAATATGCTCAGGAGACATTCCCTGAGTGAATGAAAGAAGGTACATAAAAATATCCATGGGCCATAAAGAGTAGAAGTGTTGGTTGATATGTATCCAAGCAAATATGCCCAAATATCAATGTATGAAACAAGTTAAAAAATATCAAAACAAAGAAATATACAACAAAACAATTATAACAAAATGAATAGAAACTGAATAAACAACAGATGCAGGTGCATAGATGAGGGACCATAAAGAAAAATGGATTTTAACATCAGTATAAGGAAGTTTGAGGGAAGGAGAAAGAAAGAGGTAACTGGCTGATAACGGCAGGACTGAGGGACAGAAATACATCTTGAGGCTAAAGACGCAGTGAATGACGCTTTCTGTGATGAAACTCAACAGAAACTGAATGGCTGGCATACTGTAAATAAGTGATTGACGGACTAGCTCAATTACACTGAAGATGCCTGAAGATTTAAATAAATATCAGACTGCGTTATAACTCATTGTCTAAATGGCTAAAATATTGACAGAAAAATGTATTGTGCTGTGTTTGACAAATCTGTACAATACCGCAGGTGACATGCCTCACTGAGTAACCTCTGGTACTCTGCTGCTCCAGGTCAAAGGTCATCGTCTCCAAATAAAAACCAATCACCAGCATGCTCTCATGTATTGCATTGAACACACAACTGCAATCATTCCAACTCACTCCCACTCCAAAACATGATGCAGCGCTCACTTCAAACTGATGAGTCATTTTCAGCACATCTGTGAACACGGCACCACGCATACATGTGTGCAAAAGTGCAAATGAAAACCTACACGTGCATAGTCTCACATCTGGACGACATCACAACTCACCATTGGCTGTGGCGGCTGGGCGTAGCCTGGGTGTTGCTGCGGGGTAGCAGAGGGGGTGGAGGGATAAGGGGTCTGAGGCTGGGAGGGGGGCTGGGTGGAAGGGGGGCAGCTGTACGACATAGTCAGCTGACCGAGGTAGGGGGAGTCTGAAGAGAAAACCGAGGAACCCTGGCCGCTGTCCATAGCTCCTTCAGCTAAGAGAGAAAAATGTGTTAAGATATCAGGAGGGTAACCTTTTCCCCCCTCCCTCATCATGCTAATACATCTCTAGAGTCTAATGACCTAAACACATTCATATCTCCATTCATGCACTTCACATCCAAGTGATTTTTCTTCTGGTTTGACAAAATACACAGGCCATAGTCGAGCACAAGTTGTTCATAAAGGGTACAACTTATGGAGCTCACTGCCATAAAATGTTTTGTTGGATATATACGCCAATTTTTTTGGCTTAAATGGGCAAAAAAATACATTATCAACTTTCAGCATGTTGTAATTCAAGTGGCCTGAGAGCTCTTAGCTCTGTTTTCAGACTTTAGAAAATCTAAGCCATGATGGGAGACTCTGGCCAATGACAGGACTTGTCAGAGAGAGAGCGTTTCTATTGGCTGGTCTACAAATGCACGGGCATGTCTGTTCAGATAGACGTGCGTCAATATCGGTGAAGCATTTCAGGGATGGACAGGTAACGGGCTGCTAACTTCATTCTCATGTATGTTGTTGTGTAGGTAGATTTACCATGAAAGCAGGCGATGAGTAGATATGCATAATGTTCCTAATAGTTTAGCCTTCTGCTAACCGTAGCCAAAGGCTCACGGCTGCAGCTGTGCTGCTTGTGTTGCGTGAGTGGAGAGCTGGAGGAGGGCGGCTGTATCTACAAATTCTGGCTTTTAAATAAATCATACATTACATATGCTTAATATATAAATATCATAACAACTTGAAACACATTTTCATAACTACTGTTCTTATGACTCAAACATAGAAATAAGATAATTAAATAATTATCTTATTTCTATGTTTGATTAATTAAAATACATACTAATTTTTTTTTTTAAATGAGGTTTTATGTTTTAATAAAAACTCATCAGGTCACAGACTTGATCATCACAAGGCCATGTGTTAAAGAATTCAAGGGTCTGCACGGGTAGAAATACATATACAGGATATGACAATGCAGAGGTCTACTGTATTTACTGTGACTGCTGCTTGCAGTATGTCTTACATGTGTGTGAGATGCCGGTCTGTTGATAGTGAAGCTGCTGCTGCTGCTGCTCCACTTCAGTCTCTTCTGCCTCTGCCTGTAAACACACACAAGCTAAGGTTAAACTAAAGGAAGCAAAACAGAAAAAAACTCAATTTTTTTACATTACACATATTACATGCTCCCAATGTACACAAGTCAACATTCAAATATAGAATATCACAGCTAGAATAAGGACTATGCGAGTGCCTGGGGAAAATAGCACTAAATTTGATCTTGTGTGATAAATGCATAAGGCTAAATCATTTGTTGTCGTTGTTTTCTTACAAACTTAACAAACTTTGAAAAAACATCCTTACTAACTCCTGATCAGTCTGTTGTTCCAACATCAAATCAATCTCACAAAAAGGTAAAATATACGAACAAACTGACTTCCAAACAAATTCTACAAACCTGAGTGTGTGAAGTTTTGAGTGTTTCTTGTTGCTGTTGATGCTGTTGATGTTGTTGTTGTTGCTGTTGTTGTTGTTGTTGCTGTTGTTGTTGTTGTTGTTGTTGTTGTTGTTGTTGCTGTTGCTGTTGCAGCTGTTGTAGCTGTTCTGCCTCCAGTTTTCTCTTCTCCTGTTCCTCTCGTACCAGCTGCCTCTGTTCTCTCTTCCTTCGGATCAGAGACACACGGTCCTTGATAGCCTTGGCCATGGTCTTATGGTCACCCTCAGCAACGTATCCAGACTCAACCTGAGGGGACAGATACTCTCATTAGCAAACATCCATCTCTTCTTACCATACAGTTCTTTCCATCCAATATCCTTGCCCTCAGTCTATTCTCTTTTTGATTACTTCCCTCCCACCATTCATCCCTCCATTGAATCCTCTCCTCCTTCACACCTACCATTTCCTGGGCCACATCTTCAGGGACGTCCTTGTTCAGGTCAAAAGAGAACTCGATGGCTTCGTTGTCTTTGTATTTGCCTAAAAACAAAGAATGAACATGTTGCTGGTCCAGCAGCTGGCTGTCTGTTACTAATAAAATCTATAGTGTAAACATAATTTTATTAAACAAAATAAGTGCTTTGATTCTTCAATAGTTAAATTGTGATTTTTCAACAGCTAAAAAAGCTGATACACATTAATATTTGCTAAATCAGGACAAAAGTTTAAGTATGTGTTTATTAGGTATTTTACAATTGCACTGACTTTGACCAAGACTTTAGGAATGACAAAAGATATTCCTATTAAAATTTCGTTCATATATATATAAGACTTTAATCAGATGGTGAAATAAAATAATTATTTGCCTTTGAGCTTCTTGACGTCTTCTATCCTGAGCCAAAGTTTAATGGCGATCATTTCCCCATCATCCTCCTCTGCCAGTTCAACCCTGACCCCTGTGTCCTCCTGGAAGAATGCATGGTTCAACAGGATCTTTATGGCATACCTACAGGAACAAGAGGGAAAAAGAGATCGATTTAGGACAGAGGATAAATGTGGGAAAGAGCCATGGATGGAGACTGAAAGATAAAAAGACTGCAAATGCCTTGTGAGCCAATGTCCAACTTATAAGCTAACAGGAGAGACATGGTGTTTCATTAATCTGCTGGGAATCAAAACATGTTGACAACATTTAGTCCAAAGACAGCCTTCCACATATATTTTACATTGTGTCATTTAGTTTGTGGGCTGTGAGTTGCTAATGGCTCTTGTAGAAAGAAAACCCCTAAGAAATCCTAAAACTGAACACCAATGTTGCTGGTGACAGACAATGAATCAGATGACTGTTCTTTACCAAAAGACCAGGGTAACTGGATTTGTACAATAAGTAAAAAGAAGATAAAAGGAGAGAGAGTGCAAGAGAGGGAGAAGGTTTAGCTTTGGTCAAGTTTCTAAAGAAGTAGACGAGAGGCTATGGTGAATATTTTTGGCAGAGCCACGGCATGTGGAGAGAGAACAGAGCACTTCTTATTTCTGACCAAGAAGCTGTGAGTTAGAACAGGATTTAGAGAAAAGAGGATTTTACTGTTCAGTCTTTCTAGTGTACAATATAATTCAATCATAAAACTCATTTGAATTCTACCATCAAACATTCCTGGGTGTAGTGATGGTAGCATGATCCACGTCATTTTATTTTTAGAGACATAATGCAAATATTCTGTGTCAATCCAAAAATATGATGAAAGCCTACGGGACCTCCAAAAATACAAATCCAAAAGAAATCGCTATATGTCAACAGATCCGGATTTGGCGTTGCCAGTTTGTGTTTGTGTGACTCACCTCTCATCCTTGTTTGTTCTGATGCAACCCTCTATAATTTCCTTCACTTCAGGAATGGCTACCTTGTCAAAACTGCCAGGCTTCACTCCCTGCAAAATCACACAAAGAGAAAAGAACAGTGAAGGCAAGGAAGCTTTTAGAGAAAGACAAGGAGACAAACAGAAGGGAAGACAAACTTGCTGGAGTTTGGAAAGAACTAAAACACAGCTCTTTGTCACTTGTACACAGGAGAGATTTAACCTAGCCTGCCACCTCTGAACACACACAAAAATACTGTACATACATGTGCTGTAATTCATTCTCTGAAGCTCTGAAGGTCATTTTGTTCCAGAATTTACAATGGATTTGTTTTTGTCTCTGTATCTAATGCAGAATAAAATTATGCACAACAAAATATTACTTTCCAATATAGGAACATAAAAAACAGGAAAAATAAAATACAGGAATGAATTAACAAATGAAACAAAAGATGGATGCCAATTTCTTATTATATACTGCAACATTTACTGTTGTTAATTAAATTAAACTGTACTAAATCTATGAAATACACATTGTAATCCAAATTAACAAGTCATACTAATAGACTATATTGCTGTAACAGTGTTGTATAAAGTTTAACTTTGTGAGCCTGTCCAGTGATAGTTTGGTCCAGGGTTAATTCCCACATAAATGCAAATGCATGACTTCTCAGGAATAAATAATTAAACACAACCTTTCAGAGCCATTGAAGAATACTAAAATACATTTTGAAGAATAACACTAATAAAAAGCCATTAGCCAGAACCCACTCTGTCTTTTTTAGTAAAGGCACTAAAAACAGGTAAAAGACAAAATATAAAACAGCCTGTTAGCATGACACAGCACAGTGCGATGCAGGGTTTAAGTGCCGACTGATACTATGAGAAATGAGGTTACTTTCAAGTGCCAAAAAAGTGTATGACTGTGGCCAAGGAACCTCTACAGGCACATTAAATTATGGGTCCACCATTCAGAAGCCTCCCACTGAACAGAAGTTCAACTACACAGCTCACCACAAGGCATCTTAACGACCAGCACATTTGTTCAAACACTGTTAATGGAGGAACAAAATAGAGACTGAGGCAAAGAGGAACAAGTAGGGATCGGAACCTAAAATCTAAATAAAGAAAAAGGGGCAAGTGACAATAAAATACTCCAGGTAACATTCATTCCATCTGTCAAACATGGACATATAAAATGTCAACAAACTTTCTGGTCCATCATCACTTTCTGAACTGATAGAGCTCTCCTGAAATGTAGGTGAAATAATCACTCCAACACACAAAAGTTTAACCCAAATGAAAACTTTTAAACTTTTTCTAACAGATATATCAAGTATAAATGCACAAACTAACTCATAAAAGATGAGTGCAGATCAAAAGCAATGAAAAGCAGGAAAAGAAAAGAGAAACCAAAAGTAAAAGAGACAACACAGTAACTATAACTAAATGACTTGTTGGCCGGGTCACTATAAAATAGCTAAATGATAGTTTGGTGGAATGATAGATGATCAAATAAAGGGTAAAAACTTACCTAGGAAGTACTCAGACAAGTGGACTGGAGAGTTGTTTGACTGACAGATGTCTTTGAAAAAAGTTTTTAGTCTAAAGTCACTGCTTGCCAGACAGATGGACTGACTGTTTATCTCAACCTGTTTGTGCCAGCAAATGACCACCTCCCTCTGCTCTCTCCTCCAGCCGTCGTCCCTTCCTCCTTTACTTTCTTGGCCTGTTTCTCTCCTGCAACCCCCCCCCCCAGTTTCAACCATTACATAACAACCCCCATCTCTCTCTCTCTCTCTCTCTCCCTCCCTCACACACACTTAGATTCCCGGACCAAACAACGTTAGGACTGATGGAGGAAGTAATGGTATTAAGTCTGACAGAAGAAGGGAGGATGAGGGAGAGGGACAGAGAGAGAGAGAGAGAGAGAGAGAGAGAGAGAGAGAAAGAGTTAGAGAAAGCTAGACTTTAGTTTAACAAGGCTGACTGGAGGTAAGGAATGTTCCCGAAGGAGAGGGACCATGAAGCACGTCAACAACATTGTATGTCAAGGTATAAGAGGATGAGCCTTAAAGAATATCCACACAATCCTGGCTCTCTCAGCCTTTCAGTCATACAGGATAATACAAAGGACCTCAGATCCTATAAGAATTATACAAAAAAGTGAAATATTTCCATGAAAATATATACTATATATGCAGTTAAAATGTTTATTGAATTGCATTTTCACTTTGTTGCACATGCTAGGCCAATTCCCAAACTGTTTAGCTTGTGACCCCATTAAAATGATAAATTAATTAAAAATCACCCACTAATTCACATGAATATAATTTTGTGTAGCATAAATATTTTCTGCTTGCCTTTCCTGTTAATCAACAACGCCTCAGTAATTTTATCCTGTGACCCCTTAAGGAGCCCCGACTACCAGTCAACTGACAGATGAAGCAGCCAATTCAGATTCAGTTGGTGATAACATGAGAGTCTGAAATTTTTTTTACTGCAAAAGTTCCTAAAATAATTTGAATGGAACAACAGATCCTGTGAGCTGAGAAGACGGAAACATGCCAAGTTACCAGGTAACTGTTTCATAACTGCTCGATAACTCATCTACAATAAACTGGCGTTGAAACTTGAAGGGTTAACTGAGGAGAGACAGAGGGAGCAATGAATGGTGGAAAGCTGGAAGCACGGATTAGGCAGCAAAATTAAAGGAAGCAGGTGACTAGGGCATCCTGGGGTTGTCACAAGTTTGTGCTTGTGTGTGCATGTGTGTGTGTGTGTGTGTGTGTGTGTGTGTGTGTGTGTGCATGTGTGTGTGTGTGTGTGTGTGTGTTGTCTGTGACAATAACGATTACAGACAACTGAAGTTGGCTGTTTGACTAAAGATTTTGCTGAATGAATACAACAACAATCTGAGCAAAAATGCTCTGTACTTCCAGTAGATGAGATTACTACATTTAAGTTGTCACTCAAACACATCACACACAGAGTTGTGAACCCAGAGGCTGAGGTCACTAAGATAATCAAATATGGTTTGATTAAATTTGGAAAGAAATTTCATTTTTTTGTGTGAGTGAGAGGAGGGAATATGGAAGGAGAGGGGAGGACCTGACAGACACACAGATTTAAATATACTATCTGAATTTATTCTGCCCATAAAGCTTTGTAAATTGAATTGAGAGATCCAGAGACAGGCAGACAGATGGTATGGATCGACACTGAGTTCCATTACTGAATACTGAAGCACTGGAACATTAAAGCATATGGAGTGACCACAGGAATTTAAATAACCATACGTCAAATATAACATTAATCAAGACTAATCACTACAGCCCTTGTCTGATTATCATTGTCTAAAATAATGTCAGTGAAGTAGAGGTAGGGTCATGTCTGGAACAGATTAATTAACACTGTACTCAGCACAGTATTCATTTCTGGTATACAAATTAAAAAGGAAAAATTCCAGTGCTGCCAGCGTGTGTCTAAAGTTACCATTAAATTTGAATGTTAAGACTCGACTACCAGAGGTAACAGCAGCGCTTGCTTTAGCTGAAGGGGATGTTGCACTCATCTGTAAGCTATAAATAGCACTGCATTTCTGTTGTTTAGGAGACTGGTGTTAATCCTTCCTCTGTTTGAAATGAGTGCTTTTGCAAAAATTGCATTTAACCGACCGAGTAAGTAAAAAGTGCCCACGCGTTTCTTGAGCATCTTTTCTCTTTTGCACTGTTTCAGTAACATAAAAATGATTTGGTGTTTCAAATAAAGCTTACCGAGCTGAAATAAGAGATGTGATAGGAGAGAGAGAGAAAAGAGAGAAAAGGGGAACAACAGAAGGGTAGACAGAGAAAAGAGAGAGAGAGATTTCTAGTAAATTCCAATGGTCCATTAACCATCACTGTCAGCCTCCACAGAGCTGAACTCAGTCCCCTGAGGAAAGGAGGGAGACAGCTTGCATCTGTGTGTGTGTGTGTGTTGGGTGATGACCTCAGCAGCACTTAATTTAAAAAAAGCCCATGATTGCATCTGTTGTCCTCTCTGTCTGTTTTTTTGTCTTATTATTATTTTTTTTTTACTCTCAGTGTTTCCAGCCAACTGTCATCTAAATTTCAGCTCAGTCTGGAAATGTTACAAAAACTAGAGGGGAATTAGGAGCATATCAGTCAGATGGTTTGACGCAAGAGGCTTTTTGTCTGTCAATAAAGAGATCCACTAGAAAAATGGAGATTTGCTCTGATATAGTTTGTGAGGGGTTGTGCTGGAGAGTCCTTTTGGAGCCTTTCTGAACATTGACAAGAAAGAAATTTGATTTAACTTTTTGTTTTCGTGCAAGACATTTCTTTGGCAGAAAATGTGATTCTTTTTACCCTGCAGTTGTTTTGAACTCAGTGAGAACAATACCTTTGGCCAACGAATGTGGCCAACGAGTGTTTTGCGCAAGACCAAAAAAAACCAAACTGCTTTACATTAAATTTGGCCTGACATGACAAGGTTTTCTCAGTACTGCTCTCTAGTGGTGGAGAAAAAAATACAGTCAAAGATGTGTTCCTCTAGTGCGTCTGTTTTTTTTTTTTTTTTTGCAAAGTAGAGGTGGGGAGGGCTAGAGAACAAGACAGAGACTAATCAGTGCAAAAACACTGTCATATGACTGAATCTCCTGCAGCTCATGCCAAACTTATTAATATAGCCAGTAAACAAGTGTGGGGAGGGAGTGGCAGAGAGAGCCGGGTGGAGGAGGATGTAGATTAGAGACAAAAAAGACAAACGTGGCTTTTAGATACACCACATGAATGTCAAAACTTGGTGTGTCCACAGTATCAGCGTGCAGAACAGAGGCATTCCAAAGAAAAATCGTTTCACTCTTTCTGTCATACACGCACTGCACAGGTCAGTCAGACTTACACTAGTAACCCGCCTGTAGATCTGGGCAGCATTTTGACATTCAGAGTAGGGGTACTCTGAGGTAGCCATCTCCAGCATACACATCCCGAAGGCATAGACGTCTACAGATTCATCATACTTCTCTTCATACATCTCTGGAGCCATAAACTCTGGGGTACCTGATGAAAAGGAGAGGAGAGGAAAAACTTTGATCACTCTGTCACCATACTGCACATTTAAGGTCCTGTAATTAGGAATTTCTTTATTTCATTTTTCCCTCTAGGAAACACAAACTATAGATCATCATTGCTATGGAGAGGGTTAAATGAAGTGTTAAACTGGCTGTTTTAAGTGTTTCCACATGTGGGAATGTCTCTACAACTTGCAGTAACATAGATAGAATATAATCTGTCCTGAATAAAAACAAATATTTGTCTACTTGTTTAGATTCTGATGGTTCCATTACATGTATTTTCTTGCAAACCAGCCATACGGCACAATACTTCCACACTATGAGATTTAAGTAAACAAGCTATAAACACACCATATAGGTACTACATAGTAGCCTAGTAATGTTTGTTGAGTGTGGATGTCTTCATACTTGAGCTTTACCTAATTACTACAAAGCAGCTGTGAGATTTACTAAGCATTTCATTCTTGCCCAAAGTGCATGAGAGTATGTGCATTCATGTACTGTGTGTGAAGAAAATGTGTGAACCAGAATACCAGAATACCAAAATACCTGTGGTCAACTGGAATACTGAAAGGCAGCCAAGTTATTACATGGAGCAGAACAGACACTTTGTATTTCACTTGTGTATCATATGCAGAGTGTGTGTGTGTGTGTGTGTGTGTGTGTGTGTGTGTGTGTGTGTGTGTGTGTGTGTGTCTGTGTGTCTGTGTTTGGCGTATCTTTGGTGTGTGTATGTAGCCGTCACATCTCCAGACAGCTTAATCCTTTCTTACCAGGAGACTAACTGGTGTGTGTTACAAATACCTGCATGCTTTAACAACCAGACCTTTAGAAGCAGCAAAGTTAATCTACAGTAGGTGTGTGGGGTGTGTACAGAACGTGTCTGTGTTCACGTCTTTGCTTATATAAGACCGTGTGTGTGGACATGTAACGTAACTAATGTAAAACTTTACATCTGGTATGTCTGCATGCAAGAGGTTAGGAATTTGTGTTTTCACTGGGGACATGCGTCTTCTTACCTATGACACTCTTGGCAAAGGAGGCCCTCTTTAATGTGGCTAACCCCAGGTCCCCTATCTTCACAGAGCCCGTGGGCCCTGTGATAAAGATGTTGTCGCATTTCAGGTCTCTGTGGATGATGGGTGGAGCTCGGGTGTGCAGGAAGTGAAGGCCTTTGAGGATCTGTCTGCACCACGAACGCAGAACTTTAATTTTCATCACCTTGAAACGCTTCAGGTAGCTGCAGGACAAAGACATCAGACAGAGGAGAGCATGTCACTCAACAAAAACTTAGAGAGAGTGGCAGTTCCAACCCTGTAGTGGCCAATCAACAGCTGTGTGTTCTGTTCAAGTGGCCTTTGTCCTGACATAATAACTGTCTTCTTTGAGAGATGCTCCAAACAAGCAGACCAGCAAATATTATAAAAGGTGTAGCATCATTGAATTGAGTTTTAGCTTTACTCTGATGACACTTTAAACTGTTTTGAATTCTACAGTAATGTTATTGCAGGACACTGAAATCCCACCAGAGCAAGGTATCCAGCGGCAGACCATAGTCAGATAAGATATAGACGCAGTGGAAACATGGATATATAATAAATTCTCACAAAGACATGCATCTACACAAAAACACAAAAAAGACAGTCAGTCATTGACAGACATTCTGGTGTCTGTGTGGTAAATAATTTAGATGCATTTTATCTATCTAAAAGAGACATCTATTTTAATCTGGACATAAATACCACCTGAAAACATCAAGAGTGACACAGACTTAATACATCCATATTTATTTTATTCATACCGAACCGGCATTTAACTATTTTAACCATGTCTTTTAGTCACTATTTTCACATTACATAAAGCAAATAATAACCTTTTCAAGCTCATGTACAGGTCACTTTTTTAGCTGTTGATCTCCTAATGCACATCATCAAAGATTTTTTAATGTGGTGTCAAAGTGGGACACATAACAGTGCAAATGCCCATTCATCTTTTGGTAAACATTAGTTGCAAACCTTTTTTTTCTTTACATTATTACTTATTTTATTTTATTTTTGACTAATTCTCTAGAGGTTTAGGGGTTACAATTTCTAAATATTTGTCTATTGCTTTACACATTTATTTTTTTTATATTATACTCTTTAGTGCAATCCAAGTAGAGTGCCAAACAGACACAGCCAGACATGGTAAGTAAGGTGTGCTCCTCATCATCTTTTTTGATTTGCTTAACTCTGCAGGTCTGTGTAAGTTACACTGCATCACACTGGCAAGAGCAATTGGATTTGAGTTAATTGTTGTTATTCAGTAAAGCACTTTGGTTCCTAGAGCTCAAAATACTCTTGTCCTTGTTCTATTTACTGCATTTAATTCTATCACCAAGCTTTAAACTTAGCTTGGACTAAATCTGCCCATGGTCCTGGTGACCCTGCAAGAATGTCGTTGTCTTCTCCAGTGATGCCCTCTCGGTTCTCCTGGTCCGAGTCCAGACAGCTGACCAGGTACAGAGCAGCATCAGTGAGCTCCGGGCATCAACGGTGGCTCCACAGATCCTGAGTGTCAACAGCTGCTCTAATAATGCAGCAACTGCAAATCTGTCTTCGCTGATGAAGAGCAGCTCGGACAAGTCAGGACTCAGCATCACAGACCAATCTGCTCTGACCCAGCCCCAGATTGTTGGGTTGAGCTCCAGTGGCACAACAAGATATAGCTGTGACCCTGTGACTTTACCAGAGTAGACTGTGTTCATTTAATCAGGTGCTGTACCTCATCATTCTAAGGTACTTTAACTACAGTATACTTATACTCCATTTAATTTCACTGGGAAATACTACAGTTCTTACAACAATACAATTAATGACAGCCATACTTAGATGTGACTTTGAAGATAATTTCTTTTCACTCAAGCCATATGATCAATTTATAAAATATGATGAAGTAATGCATATGATGCTTCCACAACCATCATGAGCCCAATGCCAACGGAAAGCACTGAGAGGTGATTTCTCATTGGATGCCGAGCAGCATCAAACGTACCCTCAGATACAGAGGAGACTAAATGCAAGTCAGGCAGCATCTCTGCTGACTGGAGGGATCTAAATAAACAATGTGAAGTGTGTCCTCTCTTCTGCTCTAGGATGAAGTAGCTATACAGGATTATCAGTCATGCTACATGGTCTCCACCAGGTAGTTAAAAAAGTGATATAGCTAGGTGTTGTCATATATAATTTGAATGCAGCAGTGCCCTGCATTGTTAATACTAGTAAAGCATACCTAGAAATTTGTTCTATTGTTCAGTTACAAAATAAGAGAAGATGGATTGTAAGAAAACTGACGCACAGCAATTAAATATTCATAACAATAAAACTCCTTCATTTTGTCACTTCCTCAGTTATACAGTGAAGTGTCTCCTCTGACTTTCAATGATGAGTTTGTTTCTTATATAGGCCACCATTTCTCTCCATCTTAAAAAAGTTATACGGAGGAATTTATAACAGCAAAATATCTGGACGGATTCACATATTTTCACAAGGAGTTTGCCTTCAGGGCATGGAACAAGTTAACAGACAGAAAATAATCTTTTGGGCAATTTTTTTTTAGAAAAATCCACATCTGCAAAACTTGAGTGTTTACACTAAAACCTTTTTACAGCTATCCCTCCTCCTCACACCCAGCCCCATTCCATCACACTCCATTTCTCGCATTTATTTCTTCTTCTCACATACCCCTTAAGAAACAGAACCCTCTTCTTCCTCCTTCTGTACCTTCCTCCCCTTTACCTACCCGTACTCCTCTACCTCGCCTCTCTCCTCTGCGTTCTGTCTCCCACTCTCTGAAGTCAGAACAGTGCTGACAGACAAGTTAAACCCTGTGGCATGCGATGTTGGAGTGACACTGCACAAAACATCTACACACAATCACTCGACCGTGCTCTTTTCAACACACGGACCTAAATACATAGATATGGATTTGCACTTTGAGAATGTATATGTATGCAGCTATACATGTATGCAGTATGTGAACAGTACATAGATGCATGAGCGGATGAGCATTCATACACACAGAAGCATAAATACAAACACGCAGACATACAAATGCCACAGCAGTACACACACACACACACACACACACACACACACACACACACACACACACACACACACACACACACACACACACACAGCTTTCTGCCTCTTTCTCTGTTTCACACACACAAACACACACTCAAGGACACACACAGATAAGGGGTCTCTAATACTCTGAACCCACGCTGGCCAGTATTTCCATCCTCACCATCTCCCTCCTTCCCTATCAGTCCTCCCTCTTGTCATCTCTCATACTTTTTCCACCACTTCACTGCACAAGGGATCCGCTCCTTTCTGAGTCTTCATCTGGCTGATGGCCAAATCGCTCTGCAGCCTTGAATCTGTTCATATATGTACATGCATGCACCAAACAAACTTACATACATTTATTTTGTTGAGGTGAAAGAGTTAACTTGACTATTTGATTAACAGAAAGTTATCTTGTCTGTCAAAAACAACTGAAACCGGCTTTACAAGTGAATAATTGCTGGTTTTCTTAGTCTTCTATGATTTTAAATTGAATAGTTTTGGGTTACAGACTGCTGGTTGGACAAAACAGCACATTATAAGACACTATCTTAGGCTCCTAGAAAACTGTTTTATGTTATTTTATATACAATTTTATTGATTTTATAGACCAAATTCTCCCTTGAGCTATTGAGCAATACAATGAATCCATTCATTTCTGATTTATCATCCAAATAATATTCTAACATTGTCACACTTGCAGTCCAGGAGCACTTGTCCAGCTTTCCTTTAGCTTTTGGATTCTTTGTCTGCTTATTTTCATCTGAATATTCAATTCTATCATGTTAAAAAGAAAAAAACCTGTCTAAACTAAAACTAAATCCTATGCTCAATTTTAAATTGTTAAAATGAAAATGTTTGAGATTGCAGTAGTGTGCTGGAAAAGGTTTGTTAACCTCACTTCATTTTACTCTTCAACTTGCTGGATAGATGTTTGTTTGAGAGCGTCTGCACAGTTTCTCCATTCCTTAACAAATTCATGAAGCTTTTTCACTCTTCCACTGGAGGGAGCTACTGTCCTTGGTAGTACTGTGCTGCTGGATTAATTCTCTCACTCTGTGGTCACAGGTAGTTCATTAGTTTGTCAGGCACTCTGCCTGGCTGCCTTTAAACTGGATCTCTAGTTATCTATTTGTCTATGTGTGTATCTATCTGCCTCTGCCTTTACCTGTCTCCCTCTTTCTGCCTCTCTGATTACAACTAACTGTAAATATGAGTCCGGTCATCCCTCCACACATGCCTCATTTGGTTTCTCCCTCTGTCTGTTTCTCTGTCAGGAATGAGAGGAATCTGCAGCAGAAGCAGCAGCTGGCAGGTGGGCCAGTGTCCCACGATGCACTGCATGGGGCACGCCGTGTGCCACTCGCCCCACATTTAAGCTTTTATTGTTTCAGGAGCTCAACAATCACTTTCGCATTCACAGTCGCACATCTATTCTCCACAGCAGAGAGACTGGCATGCGGTCATGGCATGGACAATGACCATCACAGACACATTAATTCTCCACAGTGAGTTCAGCGGAGGGGGGCAAAGTGAGGAGAGAGACTGACAGACGCCCCTGTTATTGACATGCAAACCACAGATGTACAGTTTGTAACACACATAGAGAGGAGTCTACCCATGATTCCTGAGCTTTACCAACTTATTCTCTGTATTTGAGGCTGAGATCAAATGAAAATATACTAAACACTGGGAGGTGAACTGATGCCACAGTACAGAGTGATTGTGCAGTGACATCATTTCATTCTAAAGTCATGTAGACAGGCACTCAGTCCATAAATACTGTACAGAACACACATACCACATACTGTAATAAGTCACGCAAGACTAGATGACCCACTAACAGCTGCACTTGGCACAGACATCATGCTGGGATGTGGTGCTCACGTCACTGCTCTGAAAGACCACTTGAAGACAGAGAAGAGAGTGCAGGCCTATGTGTGCAATTTTAACATTTTTAAATAAAAAAACTTCAGGTGAGTCATCATCTGTAATGACAGTGCTCTTCAAAAGCAAAGGAGGAAATAGGTGATGTGTGATTGACTGTGTGTGTGCTGTGCTCAAACACCAACAACACCGCAGATGTGGTCAGATAATTGTTTTGTTTTCAAGTTGAGCTTGAACAGCTCTTTTTTCTTGAATCAGTTGAAAGCATCATTATTAGCCAGATCCTGTTATTGTGCTAATTTTGTAAATTGTTCGCAGCGTCTTTTGTTTGCAGTGACACCTTCCAGTCACATCCTGTATAGCGTTCTGTTTATTCATCTGATCTGTGTGGTCATACTATGTAATTATATCCAGTAGCTGAAGTAAAAGTGGTAGAAACTAAGGAAAAGACACCAAACTTTTTTGATTGCTACATTTCTTCCCCCTCGGAAAATTCATGTCATCTCTCATGTACTCACGTTTTGAGCGTGCCAGATGTCATGAGCTCAGTGACCAGAACAATACATTTCTTTCCTTTGCATGGTCCCTCCCACGAGTCGTAGAAGCGGACAATGTTAGGATGCTGGAGACCCTTTAACATCCCGGCCTCTTCTTTGAAGCGCTGTCGCTCAGACTTGGACAGCTTACGATCCTAGACACAGGACAGGGGGAGAGAATTAGTCATACATCCACAACACTAAGGAAATGTTGCTCATCTGAAAACTGGATGGAAGAAGTATTTACCCAAATGAAACATGTTGTGTTAATAGTAGAACGTGATTACAGTGAGTGTGATTACAATCAAGTCAAGCAGGAAGAGGTTTTGAGGGGCGGAGAGGAAAGCTAATTAAGGAGAGAAAAACGACGTAATACAGAGGGAGAGAGGAGGAGAGGAGAGATAATAAATGCCAACAAAACATGAGTCCGACTGTGGTTTGACAACAGGATACAAAACATCTCTTATATCTATCACTGATGCAGCATCTAAACATGCCATTGAAAAACAAATTCAGGTGAAATGTGAAACCAGGTACCAGGTGTCAGAAAATGTTGCCATATTACATTAAAACACAGCTCTAGAGAAGGATTTGGATAGGGATGAAACGGTAGACTGTCCTTTCATCTTAACTCAAAGCAGCCACAAACATCCATTACCGTGAGTCTCAGGCTGTATTTTCAGCTGTCCTCTTTTTATCTGCACAGTACCCGCTTCATTTCTTTGAGAGGCCCTTGGTGACAAAAAGGTGTTCAAGGCGGACTCATAAATGTGAAGCAAAATTAGGTAAACTACTAGTGGAACAAAACTTGATCTGATGATTATTTTTTGATTAATCGATTAATAGTTGGGACTATAAAATGTCAGAAAATGTCCAGTTGAAATGTTTGTCCCACAAAACAATCAATCATAGTCAGTCGTCATAATCAGCTATGATGCCTCCAGCTGCTTCTGCCCACTTGCGAGTGAAAACTTTAACCAGGATTGATAAATTGCTATCGGTTCAGATGCCACCTCCCTCCATATGAGCAAGGACACGATCCCTCGCCAGCCCTCACCACCACTGTTCAGTGGAACACACACATCAAAACCTGAGATACTGGCTCCAACTACTTGTGTCCATATATTTGTTGCTTTAAATTTCACACCAAACTTTAACTGAGTCTTTATTAGTGGTGGTCGTGGGCACCCAGTGGGAGCTCAACTAAAACAGGCAAAGACAAGAAAGTTACGGTCTACATTCTTCCATCCTGTGCAAGAATAGCTTCGTAGAGAAGTCTGGCACATCTACTCACACATACAGTTTAATGGGCATTCCAGCTCTGCCACTGATACGTCAATAAACACCAATGCAAAGGGCAGTGTGGGCAGGCTGGATCTCGTAAAGAAGTGTTGGTGTGTGCATGTGTGCGCATTTGTACATTAACGCCTGCATTCATTTATGTCTAGCTTGTGTTGTGTGTTTGTTTTCACGTCTAATAATTCATTATTATTATATTGTGGGTTTTACTTTTTTGCTTTTAGTAAACAATTACCTCTGTTGGAGTTTAAAGGAATATATTCTATGGCAATTTATGAAAATTTGTGTGTGTATGAGCTTATTGGCTTTTGTCTGAGTGTGTTTGCACATTGATGTTTCTAGTTTCTTCATCAGCTCTGTATCTAACAGTAGCTGACACATCCAGCACGTCAGTGGCCCAAAAATAAACGAAATCAGAGCTGCCTGACAACGATAAAATAAGAGGACGAAACCTCAATACTCCGCCAAAATCACGGTCACGACTTCCTCTGTGAATGTAAATTAATAAATTGTTCATGCCAAATACAAAGTCTTCCCAGCTAGCCTGCAGTTACAAGTAGGGTGAACGAGACATAAAAAAAACAACAGATTAAAACAAATATGGAGGAGATGTTCCAATTAACCTGGAACAAACAGAAATTTGTGCTTTGAGATGAAAATCATGACACACATCCAGAACGTTTCATAATGTCTATGACCCTTTTAGAGGATGAAATTACAGGCAAGTGAACAGACGGCCTGGTCCGCAGACAAACACAGACAGAACAGCAGCACCGACACAAAGGTTAAGTGTGTTTGTTTAAGTGTAGGTGACAAAATAAGTGAAACAGAGTGATCATGGAGCATGAAGAAATTTTGGATGCATTTAACAAAGCAACAGTGTTTTTAAGGTGATGCAAGAACAGACGTTGAGAGGTTAGACACCTACTCCAGCAACATTATCAGGATTATCACCATGGCAACCAGTTTTAAAAAGAGGTCCAATGAAGAGCACTTCAGCTCCAATTCAACTGTGTCATTGTTTCATTCAATAAATAAACAATATTCTAACATATTTCAAGTGTACAGATAAAATGTTGTGAATCCCTGCCATCCCTTTTTATAGCATTGTTGTGTTTCATTTGATTATTTCATTTGAATATGAATTAAACTAAAAAAAAAAAACCCACACAAATGCATCCAGTGCATTAGTGCAAACCATCCGAGGAAGAAAATGGTCGCCATCAATCGTTCAACTCGTTTAAAGCTACACTCCCTGAATTTGTAACCCACCCACCGTACCAACAGACAACAACTCAGCACTGAAGACTGCCTGGTCGCAGTGAGAGAGTCTCTTGAAATGTTATGAAGCTATTAGAAAACCTTGTGAGCTGCTTCAGAGATTAGGACAATCTCTGAGGTGATGATCTCATATTGTCATATTGTATAACCTGGGGCCTCATCTATATCATATGACTTACACAGAAAGAGAGAGAGAGAGAGAGAGAGAGAGAGAGAGAGAGAGAGAGAGAGAGAGAGAGAGAGAGAAAGCTTCAGCATGTTTCTGAGTGCATTAATGTGCATAGAGTGTGTTCATAGAGTGTGTGTGTTTTTAGGGCCCATAACAGCTTATCCCTTTATCCTACAGCAACCCTTTCACTGATGATGGCCCATTAGCGACCGACACACAGAAACATCCACATGTGCTATGTGCTCACTAACCCTTACTCCTATTCTCCCTCACTGCTCTTCTTTTCCCTGTTATGATCACGTGACCCGGTGGTCACATGACAATAGCCGTAGGTCACCTGACTGACTGGAAGCCAACATTCCATTTCCCAGCAGCACTTAGAAAAGACCCTGACCACCCATATCACTGTTAGACACCTCCCTCAGGACACTAGAAGATTACTTCTTCCCCCCTGTCTTGCTCTCTTACTGAGTGTGTTTGTGCTTGTGTGTGCGTGTGTGTGTGTGTCCACAGACATGAGCAGACAGTAAGTCTAGGGGGGCTTCCTAATCCATTATTAATGTTTCCTTCTTCATTCCTGAGTATAAGTGGGTACACATCTCTCTCTCACACACACAGTGTATGCTCTTCGTCAAATACAGTAAACGTAGATCTGGTAGACGTGTATCTAAAAAACGCAACTGTTGTGAGCATGTGGGTATTTAAGGCATTAATTTGATCCAAGTCTTCTTGTTGAGTGGTTGTTTTCTTTCTCTCTTTATCCCTTCTTTTCTGCTCCAAGCTTCAAAACATCATGAGACTTGAATTTGTCAGACTCAGAAATACCCTCTCATTCTCCATCCAAGCCCCTCTCTCTCTCTCCCTCTCCCATACACACAGGCTCACACAAACACACACCTCAGTAAGACGAGCCTATTCACTCAAATCTGCAGCTCCTTATCTGACACTCACACACACTTCTTTTCGACATAAGGACTTCTCACACTCTCTAAGCCCTGCATTGCTTACTCACTATCTCCCTTGCACCTATCCGAGGACTTGAAAGCAGCCACCTATACATCCATGTGTAAGTGACAGTCAGTTCTAAGTCTGTCTGCCCTATTTCTGCACATCCACACACCCACATGCAGACAGGCAGCCAGACAGGCGGGCAGAAACAGAACTGGCAGTGTTAAAGCATTATGCAGCTTCCTGCAGAGAGGTTGAAAGCTGAAACCCTCTGATCAGCTCATCTAGTCTGGACAGCCCACTGTGCTTTAACACTCTGTGATCATCTGCTCTGGTCTGCTGCACCCCAGAGAGCGAGCGGCACTCCCAGCACCAGATGGATGGAGGTCGCAACAGAAGACAACACCATGAGTGCCAGAAAATTCAGACAGTAAACACACTGACATAGTCTAGTTCCTGGGTACCAAACTCACAGGATGTTGTCCACAGTGCCTGATCTCTCTTGGGGACAGTGGAAGTCTAAATATAGGATAAATAATTGCATATGATCCATTTCTCAGGCTTTCCATAACATGAAACCTAATTTCTTTAGAGAAGGGAAAAAAAAAAAACCATGATTGAAGGAAGGGAAAGAAACCGTCTGACTCACTGGTTGGTGAATTCACAAAAACATCAGAAACCTTTACTGTGTCAACAAGAAGTAAGTTTTAGATTCAAGTAAGTCCTGTTACCTGGGACTGAGAGATACCCGATCCTACCAGACAAGTGTTTATTAGGGTTGAATAGTGAGAACTGAGATCTGGGTATTTCCTAGGAATTCTCCTCAAAACCTGTTCCTGTTTCTTAGGAAAACACCTGCAGGATGACAGGACTGTCAGCATGCACATGCTTGTGTTGTGTCTATTCAAAAACTGAGTAACATCATACCTACTGAAACAGACGCCTTTGCCTGCTTCTCTGTAGCTGTCATAGATATGTTGTGACCTACAGTAATGTAACTGGATCAACTTTTATATCTGCAGCAGTTTCTCCCCACAACCTTTAATCCCACAATGGCAGCAGTGTGGTGAAATATTTTTTGATTAAATGAACAAAATTAAAAGTCATTAAACATAACCATGCACACAGAGGTCAAAGAGGGACTTCATCAGATATACAGACCTCCACTCCAAAATCAGAACAGTAGGGCTGATTGCAGAGCAGCATTCAACAGATGAAGCATTGAGTAAAGAAAATCAGAGGATCAGATTATTCTGTATGGTTGGCGTTGTGTTTTCTACATCAAACATAGTGCTCTATTTAGAAAAATTGTCATTCTCCTAAATAATTATTACCAGATAATCTAACAATTATAAAATAATTACTTGAAATTAAAGACACATAATTGTGCACAGCGATGTTAAACAGCTGATTACTACGGACTTCAGTGATACCATTCACCCTGTGCACCTCAGGACA